TGAATGGCTTTCCAAGGAGAATTGCTTGTGATCCTAGCTCTGATTCCAGCGTCCCATCCATTGTGCTCCAGCCCATGAATACTTGCCACTAGATCTGATTCCAGCGTCCCATCCATTGTGCTCCTAGCTCTGATTCCAGCGTCCCATCCATTGTGCTCCAGCGTCCCATCCATGGCTTTCCAAGGAGAATTGCTTTTTACCATTGGCAAGGATCAATTAGGATAAAATATAATTGACATTTGATTACTAGCAGTTACTAGCCATTTGACCTCTTAATGGCACCTGCTTCTAATTATATCAGTTTGCATTCAACAATGCCTTGTATAGTTAAGCTTCAGAATGTCATAGAACACATTAATATTTAGCACAGATTTGTGTGTCTATGGGTAGGTAACTGTTGCAACATATCGTCACATCCTCATAGATACCCGAGCCTTAACTTGTGCTGATATTAGTTTCATACCAATAGCGGACTTTTGTAGGGCGCTATGTGGAGAAGGAACTTTTGCTCCAGTGCATGATGTGGAACCCAGTCACCCTTCCCATATCCTGTTTTATGCCATATGTATAATATAAAAAAGACAGAAAATGTTTCCAGTCACAAGAATGATGAAGTTTTTAGAAGTAACAATATTTGGTTTTCAAGCTTCATTTTTGAGTGAATATAGCAATGACTTAACCAGACATATATGATGGAGACAGAGAAAATTCCCTTGGTATACATTGTTTGCTGATATTTGGATTGCCAGTGATTGATTAAATGCAATTTTTTCAAATTACAAATATCAAAAAAAAAAAATCCATCTATGCAATGCACATTGTACTAGGAATGTATTGAATGTGTTCCCAAGCCATAAGTTTTAGGGCTAAGGGCAGGTCCTTTATAGCTTCAATGGTTTCTTGACTTTGATCGCAAAGACTTCATTCTTTTCAGTTTCTTGGGTCCTGTAGGTGAAGGCAATTCCTTAAGGGCTAATCTGCTTGCAGTTAGCACTGCTTCAAGGCTTAAATTTTGCTTCGTCTTAAGGGTTGAACTGATCAGTGATTGAAGATGGGACTCCCTGGTTGTATTTGATTGGGTATCTTCATACTTAGATGGGCCTTGACGGCTCCACTTTTTTTTTTTATTTTTTTAGAGAGAGGCTTTTTGAGCATTTCCTATCAGCTTGAATACCTTGTTCAAGTGGATTCCCAGGTAGCTAATGCTCTTTCAGACCTCTTAGCTAGGCATGGGGTAGGTAGGTCAGATTTATTATGGGGGTGCCTGACCCAAGGGGTGGCCAAACTTTGTACCTCTCTTAATGGTTTTGTCAGCTTGGTGCTCAGGTTGATGTGTGGAAAGAATGAAGTAGTGGTTTGAAGGAAATACAAGATTATGGGAGGGCTAGAATTATAGAATATAATCAGGTATGCAGATCAGACAACTTTTCTGATGCATAGTCAAGACAAGGTGTGATTGTGAATAGAGATCAGGTGTTATTCCTGGGGATGTGTAAGGAACTTGGGAGGTAGAGTAGTTAAAAGGGTAAGGTTACGTGGCTATTACCAGCCTAAATAAAAGAATCCCTGCTATGTACATATTCAATCTTTTGTTTCTGTATGTTTGTATTCTTTGGTATCCCTCATGCCTTCTCTCCATCTTTGTCACTTCCATTTACAAACATTTAGTAATACAGATTAGGAAAGAAAAGACTAGAAATGAGTATAATTGAAGAAAATTAATTTTAACACCAATTAGAACGAAGTCATGGAAAAGGTGATTTAGTTGGTTAGATTATGTGAAAGAAAAAACAGTGAAACTGATAGAATGATTTCATATGCATTCGATCCTGAAACTTCCTGCAAGAGCAGGCAAGGAAACTTAGACCTTTAATGTAGAAATTCTTCACTTTTTGAGATGCATCCATTCCTTTTTTTTTTCTCTAGGAGATTATCAGTCTATTTAAGAAACAGAGCACCATGGAGAACTCTTATTTTTATTTGGCTTTATTGTTGTCAAATCCATGGGCGGCTTTTATATGTTACAGCTATAGGCTTCTCTCTTGGGAATTGATTCATTTAGTTAGAGATGCATGTCTGTTACCTTTTCTGGTATTGGTCAATACTTTAAATGCATTGTTCATGATTATTTTTTCACAACTCCATTCAAGTGGATCTACTGGTAAAATTCTTCTAAGTTGATGAGATTTTGATTTTGATGTTTCATCAGGGGAGGTTATCTCAGAAGAGTACTCACTGGAGTATGGAACAGACAAAATGGAGATGCATGTAGGAGCTGTAGAGGCAGGAGAACGTGCCCTTGTTATTGATGATCTCATTGCAACAGGGGGCACTTTAGCTGCTGCAATCAAGCTATTGGGTAATTGTCTATTCAATTCTATTTGCAAATTGAGCTTATTACTAGCTAAGTTTACCCATGGGTTGATCTCAGGAAGCATATCCTTGTTTCCCCCCTGAAATTTATCTTGAAATTGTTTCTTAAGTGTTTTTACTTCTATCCCCCCAATTTAATTTACTGCCATGATACCTGGATGTGTCACTTATAATATGGGGAAAAAAAGAAAAAGTTCAAAGGTGGGTGTCCAAGAACTGTCTGAAAAATAGTCTTGTAACCTGAGGGATCACATATGTATTTCTACTTTGTGAATTTATGTAATGGTAGCACCAGGGATACAGATTTGTAATGCATGAAGATTTCCAAGAAAAATATAGAGAGTTCAAAAGGGAGGATGGTAGAATCAATGCCAGATAGTAAAATAGATGGTTGGAGACATGTAGCCTTGAGGATTTCAGAGCAGGAAAAGAGGCATTTTGAGAAGATTATTAATGCAATTGGGTGTGTGACAATGTCTATTTTGAGTTTAAAAGTTTCCTACTCAAAATGTTTAGAGTTTGAAGCTTTCCACATGTAGTTTATCGTTTAGATAGTAAAATCACAAGTAATGATCTTTATCTGAAAACAAATTGGAGTTTGTATGGCTTCAAAGAGAACATAAATCAGGTACAATTTGGAGATTCAAGAATTTCTATACAGTGTCTTGTGCTCTCCAAACCTTAATTTATTTTACTATCTTGCTTGTCAGAATCTAAACCTGCAATCTCAGGATTTAAGGTGCTGGAATTGGACGTCTTCAGGGAAATTCAGTTAAATCTTTATATGAAGGATTAGTTGGAAAGTCAAGGGGTCATTTCCCAAGCAAGGCTATTTGGGGAACTGCTGCTCCTTCAAAAGTGAAATTCTTCACATGGGTGGTATCTTTGGTGAAGTGTCTAACAAAAGAAATGCTAATGAAGAGGGGGTTTAATGTTCAAGATCTGTGCTGTGCTGTCATGAGGGAGAGTCAATGATTCATCTGTTCATGCATTGCTAGTGCTTCCGCTTGGCTTCATTTTATCAGGGCACTAAATTTGAACTGGCGCTTCTCATACTCAGTTAAAGCACTCCTACAAGATTAGAGAGTCCTGGGTTTTTCTAAGGGAAAGTTTTCTGGTCAACAATTCTATTTGCGATTATGTGGGCCATTTGGTATAAGAGGAACAATATGATTTTTTAATCAAAAATCAGTATCTGAAGAGGGGTGATAAACTTGGTAATAGAGGACTTATAAATTGGTTGTCTATACACAATTTATTTAAAGATGATACTTTTGTTCATCTTTTTTGAGGGTGGACTTTTTTTGGTGGTCCCTTTTTCTAAAAAAAAAAGGTGTTCCCTAACAAGAAAATCCAGTTTTCTGCCATTTTAGTTTACTGGTGAGGTCAGTTTGTAAAAAAAAAGTTGGTTTATGGTTTGTCTACTCTGACTTTTTTGAGAATCTTACCTTATTTTCTATGCAGAACGTGTTGGAGTGGAGGTCGTTGAGTGTGCATGTGTCATTGAATTGCCAGAGCTAAAGGTATGACTCTTATTTATTGCATATTTTTGTATTTGTAATGTAATGCTACCAAGTCTAATCTAATAGGCTCCTTCCAAGATGTTCCAAGCTTCTAGAAATGGTCAAGTTGGGGAAGATTTCCCCGTTCGGGAGAACAAATTTTCTGTGATGGAAGTGTTTGGGCTTTTGTTACATTTGTGGAGTGAGGTAGTAGTGTAAACAGTTTGGAAACTTATGTTGCAGGTTTGTTCATTTAGATCATTCAGAGGAACTATGGGACATGGTAGAATGGGTGTGGATGGAACTCATGGAAGATGTCATACACTTCCCCCAATAATGACAAACATCATTGCTGGTAACACCCTACACATGGTCATCCTATGGCCATGGTTTTAGACTAGAGGTGATTTTGCATTCTGAGGTTCACTCGTTCCTCTATGGTAATTAGGGTACCGTCCCAGAGGGCAATTGGAGGGTAGAGGAGATGGCAGTGATAAATGCCCATAGATTTTTTTGATAGATAATAATGCCCATAGATTGATGTAGGCAGAGGGAGGAATGATAAACTGGTGAAGGCAAGAGTTGGGTGGAGCATCGGAGGCAAATAGGGTGCCTACCTAGTCATTGTGGCCAGTTTCAATGTGTAAGCAGGATGAAGTTCTTGTTGTGGCGCCATAGCTATAATGGACAGTAGTGCTCCTTTTCATCTGGATGCTGAAGGATCTGTTAAGTAGGTTTGACGGGGCTGTAATGGTTCTGAACCCTGATTTCCCCAGCAGCCCACAAATATATCCATATAGGTTACTAGTATAGGATATGTCTGCACGGATATGTTTGAAAATAAACCAGCATCAATATGTTGATCACCTTTTCACAGAGCTTGGGCCTTATGTTACTATGATGATACATTGGGTTTGTGGTGGCATTAGAATATGGAGACTATCAAAACTATGATAGATGGTAACTTGTGCCTTTAGATTACAATTTAAAATTCCTACTTCTGATATATTTGGGAAAATTCGTCTAACTTCATGAATTGCATTTGAAATTTGCACGTTTTTATCCTAGTTCTGTTGCACACATGTAAATTGATTTTCACTTCATTCATTGCAGGGCCGGGAGAGGTTAGGAGACAAACCACTTTTTGTCCTTGTAAGTGCGGTTTGATCTTGTAAACTTCACCGCAGAGGATTTCGTATTGTATGCCCATAATAATCATTTCAAGCTTTCTTTCTATTTGAGAAAGCCCAAAGGTGTTGAAAATTGAAGAGATTTAGTTTGAGGAAAGGAAGTTCGCACTGAGAGGGCACTTTCTTAATTTAATTCTTACAAGAGACCCGGAAATCCTAGGTAGTTGGGATAATGATTTGATTGTGATACCTGACAAAAAGTTTGTGGACATTTAGCTCAACATATTCAAATAACAAGTTCATAATAGTACGACTTTGTTAATCCCAAAGAGATTAGAGATGTGTATGCCTCTACTATTAAGCTGTGTAAAAATAGTATTGGCTTAGCAACATTGCAGGGCGAATTACGGTTCCATTGTTGGTGCCAAATGTTGTGCTTCATAAAATTTCAGTGACGACCTTCAACATATATCATTCCGGCTTTGTTTGGTTGCATGTAAGATAGAATGAAAACAATGATTTCCTCCTGAAGGTTGCTAATTCATGGTGTTTAGTCGCACTTAAGTAGCATGGAAGATCAACATTTTCAAATAATACTAAAACAGTACCAATTGTAAGGAAAATGACATTCCTTCTATAACTAATTTTCTGTAGGATTATTTCTCTCTATTAATATCTTCCAAAATTTAAATGTTTGTCAACTATTTAGGTTTGTTTTCCAAGTTGAACAAAACATCATGGAAATTATGAGTATGGTTTGTTTTTCTATTAATATCTTAGGAATATTACTCACTTTCCTTTGTTTTGCCTGCAACCAAACATAACCTTGATGTAGAACCAAGTAAATACGTACCGAGCCACGAACTGCCTGGTTGCAGGGGCGGAGCCAGGGGGTGGCAGAGAGGAGCCATGCCCCTCCCCCCATGCTTTGAAAATCCTCATAGTAATTGTTTAAATCCCACATATATTTTGCCCCTCTCATCCATGTTTCTTATCTTTTGGCCCCTCTTATCCATGCTTATTACACTTTGGTTCCCCTCGATAAAAAATCCTAGCTCCGCCCCTGGCCAGTCGGCTTGCTGGATTACAAAGAATTATCGTATTTTGGAAATTAATGTAGGTTTGATAAGTTATTGAAACGGAATAATTCCTCCCCCCCCACCACCAAATTGTCTGGATTTGGCAGGGACTAAACGCTTGTATTGGTTCGGATGCATTAGAGGATGGGGTATGAAATAGCCGCTCAAATCATTTACAATATTAGTTATTAAAAAATCATTTACAATGTTAATGTAGTTAGAACTTAGAGTGAGGTCGAAATCATACCATGAGCTCTTAGTAAGTTAGTAGTTAGTACTTAGTAGCATGGTTTTCGAACTGCCGTTGATTCGGATGGTTGGATTATTTGGCCTAGGAATTGTTCAGGCAACTGGTTCCGTTTTGCTTCAAATCTAGTTTTTGACCAAAAACCATTGAAAAAGTCAACAATCTATTGATCCGAGCAGTTAAACCATTAACCCATTGACCCGCTCAACAGTTTTTGATTTTTTTAATTTATTTGTCAGAATGGGTCATCCATTTGAACTGGATGGTCAAACCGCCAATCCAGAAACCGGTGACCAGAACGATTCCGTTTCCAGGTTACTTTTTAAAACCATGCTTAATAGTACTGTTGTAACGCCCCTCTAGCAAACTTGTAGGCTTGAACTCCCACTTGGCTTCTCAAATTGACACTTGGACTAAAACAAAGTCACGTATCATGTTTCATAAAATGGACCAACAGTGAATTGCCGCTTGTTGCAGTTTTGCCCCTCTCAACAAAGATGGAAAGAACGGGATTCCTTGAACCTTGATGCATCTAACATTGTATTTCCAACCTCCCAAATGAACCACATGATGGTAGCCTTTAGGTGTTCTCGTCAACATGCAGTGCTTAGCTATTCTATTCTTTATCGTTCTATTTCTATGCTTCTATTAATTATTATTTTTGTTAGTATATTTTCATGGTTCCCAAATAAGAATACTTTTTTGGTTTCTTAGTATCTTCTTTTGTGCCCTGGCATTTAAGCCAATTTAGACTCTTGTCTATGAGTAATATGGACGGTTGGAGACAAAACTTTTGATAGCAAACACAACTCAAAATGTTATACCGTCTAATAACTTTTAGGTCAAGGCAGGTTTACCACTTAGCACCCATTTGCGAGAATTGGAGTATAGTGGCTTCTGGCTTTTTGAAGCAAGTCCGGATCTCCTGACCACACTCATCTAGCTACAGGTCAGGAATATTGTCCATATAAAATACAACCGATGCTCTAAATTTGCAGCTGGGTGAACATGGCTAGTAATGTGTTGTTGTTAGATCCAAATTCTTTTGAAGTGAGGCCTTTCGTAGATATAAAAGGTTTGGCTGTTTGCAAAAAACAATAAGTTGTTTGGAGACCAGATTCAGTTCTCACATCATTCTCACAACACTTGTAGCCATATATTTGGAACGTCTTTATACTCATATTTTTTCATTTATGAGAGATGTTCCCAATGTAGGGTTGTAAGTGTTATGAGGACTGGTGTTGTTCGATCCAAGGTGTTCCGAATTGAGAACACAATTAGACAGTCCTATTGACCAGACGAGGCCAAGGTGGAAGTACAAATCCGCACACCAAGATCTCTAACCAGGGGAAAGGTCAGAATCTCAATGAGTTGTTCCCCGAGTAGGTACTCCGACGCTCAAGTCAATAGGATCGAGAAGGATGTGGTCGGGCCGAGCAGGTTGAAATAGCGTTGGTCCATGCCGAAGAGATAGTGCAAAGAGGTATTCAAAGAGTGCAGTTCCATAAGTCCCTTACCTCGAGCGGGGAATACCTATTTATAGTTGAGCGTCTGTGTCTTAAATGGATAGGGCTTCCGAGGTTGTCAAGATGAGGGCATCCGCCGAGGTCTTCGGGAGGTTTCCTTTTCCCCAGTGGAGTTCGCTTCCTTGTTCGTGCGGGACACTCCTCAGTCCTCTTCCATTACATGTGGCGTCAATGTGGCCTGAAAGGGGATCGCCCGCGGAGATAGCCACGTGGCATCCTTGGCCAGCTCAACCATCACCCAAACACCACTCCCCCAGTTCCGAAATCGAGTAGTGTAGTGCTCGGCCGCGGCTGGGCATGGAAGAGTTCTGTGATCCTCGATCGAGGAACTCTAGTTTCTTTGAGTTGACTAGCTTAGGGTAAGACCGGTTCATTGAGCGGACTAGTTGGTTCAATGCTTGTGTTGTTTCCGTTACAGGTTGGCAAACGCGTCATTTCATGTTCCCGAGGTCATGCACGTGCGAAGTGCGGAGTCGAATCGGTGCCGTTGATTTGAGCTGATTTGGACCGTTGCTCTTCCCTATAAAAGGGGAGGTGGCGAGCCATTTTACTTTGTCATTTTAAGTGAGCGACCATAGGAGCTCGGTGAGAGTTAGTCCTCGACTGGTGCTTCAGGTGTCTTGCGGTGTAACTCTTCGGTTAGATGTCTTCATCTTCCTCCTCGTCTTCTTGTTCTTACTCTTCGTCTAGATCTTGCACGTTGGGTAGTGAGTCCAAATCGGGGTCTCATCCTTAGGCCACCGTGCTCGTGGCCCATGAAACCAATGCCCACGGGGCCGAGGTCGATGGGCCTGAGGGTGAGGGTGCCACGACGGAGGAGGTCGTGGCCCTTTGAGAGGCCGAGGTCAAGGAAACCGACGAGGCCAAAGTGGACATTATGTCAAAAGAGGGGCTCGACACTCCTGCACGGTTCGACAGCCGCTTCGCATCACCTTGTAGGTTGACACTCGGAGACCTGGCCCGCATTAGGGCCCTTTGCTACATTCTCAAGGAGTACGAGCTCAAGTGCCCCAGCATCGATGAGAGGGCTACCTCGGTGAAACACTGGAATGAGGGGTTCTTCTTCATGTGCTGCCCGGGGGATTGGCCGTTCCCCGCGAGTTGTCAATTTCGAGGACCAAGGTGAAGGCGCCGATCGAGGCCGAGCTATCTAGGGAGGAATTAGTGGCCATCAGGCGGATAGAGAGGGTAAACATGTAGGAGTACACGTCGTTCTCCATGTTGATATGTGTCAGGCTAATGGAGCCCTCGATTGGTTTGTCCTTGCTTTTGTGAGTTTCTTTCTTCTTGTTATTTCTTCGGCTTTGACTGGCTTGTTCTCTCTAGCAGATATGGTGGTCATTGACGAGGGGGAGAGAGCAAGGCATATGCAGCCTACCACATAGAGGAGGGCGGTGGTCCAGGTTGGGGTGGCTTAGTAGTAGCGCCACCTAGAGGTCGTGAACTCTTGGTCGCACAAGAGGTGAAGGCCGCTAAGGAAGACGTGGTGGATGTCGGCTCTAATGGTTCTCCGCCACACACTAGGCCGCGGTCTATGCCTCATGGAAGTCTTGAGGTCCCCCCTTCGTGTCTGGTAGAGCAGGGGGCCGAAGTGTACAGGACAAACTAGTGTGTCCAACTTGAGGACACTCTGGAAACTGAGGGCATGCCTGAGCAGCTGGCTCGGGGTATTCTACTACTTGGAATTAGGAGGGAGACCAACGACTGCATGAGCAGGGTGTTGGAGAGCGTGACCATCAGAGAGTCTGTTGTGGTAAGGTTCTCTGCACTGCCTTCTCTGTTCTTCGGTGTGCTTCGCAGAGCTCATTAACTTATGTTTTCTTTTGTAGGTTGTCTACGCAGTGACGACACCGGTTAACCAGATGTGCACCCTCCATCAGATGGCCGAGGCTCAGGAGGGCGAGTTCTCCCATCTACAAGCAGAGATGGCCGAGCTGAGGCAAGTGGCGGCAGCCAAGGACGAGGAGCTGCAACGTCTGAAGTGCCATGTGCGTGAGCTCAAGGAGGGCTGTGACAAGGCACAAAAGGTAGATGAGGAGGTGGAGGCGAAGCTACTTCCTGTCGAGGAGGAGGTAGTGACAAGGTACAAAGAGTCCGAGAAGTTCCAAATCGCCCTCAACGACTATGCTACAAATTCCTGGCAGATTGGTTTTGCTCACTACTAGAGGAGAGTGGTGTACGAGCACCCTGAGATCGCCATGGTAGTGGAGTAATTCGATCCTTTTGATGCCAAAGAGTCACCGACTGAGCAGCCTGCCCCAAAACAACAACGCATCCACCCCCAAGGAGGTAAACCCTACAGATAGCACAATTTCCCTATATTGGTGCTCTTTTCTTCTTCTTTTTTTTTTTGTACACAACTCGGTATGTCGGGCTTATAATCATTGTATCAACTTCTTGAGTAATGGAATTTTAGTCTTTTTGTAGAGCATGTTTTGTGTTGTTTCTTCTTCTAAGTTACTCCGCTTTAGAATTAGGTTGGTCTGTTAGGTCATGCCTCTATACTTTCTCTTAGGCTAGTCGGGGTTTCGGACTTGATGTTGTGGTTAGGGTATTTGACACTATGGCCTCGATCTCATGTTGGCTGGGGTTATTGGCTCTATGGTATTGGTCTTATGCTGGTCGAGGTCTTTGGCTTTGATTCTCGTCGGTTGAGGTCTTTAACTTTGTGGCCTCGGTCTTACACTAGCCGAGGTCTTTGGCCCTGATTCTTGCTGGTTGAGCTCTTTGGCTAAGTGGCCTCGGTCTTATGTTGGCCGAGGTGCTTCCAAGCTCTTAATGTTGTTGTGGGGAGTTCGATGGCACTTGGGCTTGGAGAGCTTCATGCTCTTTGACTAGGCTAGTCGTGGTCTTCAGTTAGCTTTACTTCAACTACAAGTCGGCAGGGCGTGCGGAATTCGATGGTCATCCTCTTTCCATTCTGTGGTGGGGACGTCGTTTCCACAATACCCGTCGATGGTTTGTCCTAGCCTTAGACCATTTATGGTCGGTCGAGTCTCGTGATGGTTGTTAGGTCTCAGATATTATTGGTCAGTTGGTTCTTTGACGAGATTGTGTCGTGTTGTAACCATTGGTCAACGTAGAATTCGGTTGTTGGAGTTTTGTCGAACTGTGTGTAGGCGTTTGGTCGTTTGTGCTTGAAGGAAAATTCTTTATTCATTGAGTTTGTACAGCTCGGTCGTCATTAGTGCTTGGCGGCGATTGTCTTCACTACATTTAAATTCCTGGCACTCTAGCACTTCGGTGTGGGTCATTCGTGCTTAGTTTCTCTCCTCTCTAATGGCTTTCTCGCCCGAGATGACAATGATGACCCTGACGGGTGGAGCTCGGGCTGGGGGCTCATTAGTGAGGTGTGGCTCTTCTCTAGGTTTATGCTCTTTGATGTTGATGAAGCCACGAAGGTATCCACGTCGGATGAGGTCTTCCAGGTGGTGGCGGAGGTTATGGAACTTTTCGGTCTCGGTGGAACTCACAATACTTGTCTTGATTTCTCTTGTTGCCCTAGGTTTTCATCTTCTTGGGCCACTTGACGAAGTTGTGGTCATGGATTTGCATCAGTATCTTGACATGCGGAGCGTTGAGTGGAGTGAAGTTGTAATACGTCAACAGCGGGGTTCTCAATCTGCGGTCAAGTCGGCAATCCAACCTCTTGGTGTCTCGGTTCGGTCTTTGGCTATCGTGGTCTCTGCACTTCAAGTTGTGTTGATCTTCCTCCTCCCTACGCAATGCTTGGGCCTCTTTGGCATTCATATACTTCTATGCGTGTTTCATGAGCACAGTCAGGCTGGGCGGAGGGTTCTTTTGCAAAGAGAAGCTGAACACTAAGGAGCACAACCCACTCATAATGGCGGTGACGGCCACCAACTGGTATAGAGTTCAGACTTGAAGGGCCTCAGCATTGAACTTTGCCAAGTATTCCCTCAGGGTCTCTCCTTCCCTCTATCGTACTTGCATGAGGCTAGCCGACGTCTTCTCGTGCCTTTGGCTGGCGGTGAACCGTGTCTCCAACTGCTCTTAAGAAAATATGGACAGCGGTGGAAGGGAGGACTACCAGATTCTGGTGACTTCATGGAGGGTGGCGACAAAGGCCTTGCACATGAGACCTTCAGAGGAGCTATGCAGCACCATCATTGCCTTGAACCCCTCAATTTGATCATTGGGGTCCGAGGCTTCATTGTATTTCTTGAACTGAGGGGGTCGTCGGCCAGTTGGGGGAAGCTCATCAATGATCTCCTGGACGAAGATGGGTTCCTTCGTGGGGCTGGCTGTTGTATTGCTCTGAAGGTCAAGCCATTAGAGGATTCGTGCTTCTATCTACTTATCTACGTTCCAGTTCGACCAGCCGCTCTCTCAGTTCTCTGATCTCGGCGTCTCTACTGACTGGGACCATGTTTACGGACTTTTCCCTTTTCAGGATCGCAGGCCGGTCTTGGACCGAGCTGGATTTTATTATCGACATCAGCGGTTGCTGCAGACATTGGTCGAGCCATTCTTTCGCTGGTACTCGAAAGAAGTGATGGGATCTATTGCGGGCGTCGTGCACACGAGGCCGAGTTGGTGAGTTAGATCTTCCGGACAGTTGTAGTTGATCGTAGTCAGATTGAGCCCTATGCTTGTCTGTGTGGCGCCTTTTGGGGTCCTCAATGCGAGGGTCGACTATAGTAGTCACCTGAGTGGCAGGGCGTGTGTCGGTTGCCCCAATGTCTCCATCATGGCTAGGATACGGTTGACCTTTTCCTGCATGGCTTGGAACTACGTGGGGTCGACTGCTGCTTGATGCTGGGGCTCCCAAGGCGGGGAGTTGTTGAGTGAGTGGGATCCCTGAGATGGGGAATGAGTTCTAAAGCAGTCGGTTGTGTTCTTAGGGATGGTTGCTTTTAGTGCACAGAGAGGGGTTTGGGAAATGAATTTTTGTTCATTTCCCACAAATGGCGCTAATCTGATGTTGTTCGATCCAAGGTGTTCCGAATTGAGGACACAATCAAACAGTCTTGCCGATCGGACGAGGTTGAGGTGAAAGGGCGAAGTGTGCATTGAAATCTGCAATCAGGGGAAAGGTTAGAGGCCTAAGGAGTTATTTCCTGGGTAGGTACTCCAACGATCAAGTCAGTAAGATCGAGAAGGATGTGGTCGGGTCGAGCAGGTTGAAATAGCATTGGTCCATGACAAAGAGATAGTGCAAAGAGGTATTCAAAGAGTATAGTTCCAAAAGTCCCTTACCTCAAGCAGGGAATACCTATTTATAGTTGAGTGTCCATGTCCTAGATGGATAAGGATTCCAGGGTTGTTGAGATAAGGGCATCCGCCGAGGTCTTCGGGAGGTTTCCTTTTCCCAGTGGAATTCGTCTCCTTGTCCATACGTGATACTCCTTTTTAGTCGTGCTTTTCCATTATGCATGGCATTGACGTGGCTTGAGAGGAGAGCGGTCGCGGAGATAGCCATATAGCATCCTTGGCCAACTCAACCATCATCCGAACAAGGATTGAATCTGGTCTCGGTTATTTGGGGCTTCTTGCATATGATATGTATTCACATTTAGTTCTTTGTCTATCTTCTTTAACTAAAATAATATTGATTGCAATTACTCTTTTACCCCAGACACATGTTAAGATATCATGCACATGAAGCTTCAAAACAACCCATGCTAGTTTTTTGTTCCCAAATAGCCAAGCTATTCTCTACATGAACAACTTATAAATTATGTTTAGTAGAAAAATCTAGAGAGCCCAAATTGGTTGCTAATATGTCATTTGAAGGGTTATATCAATGTTTTCAAAACCGGACCGGATCAGACAGTCGAACCATCGATCCAAACAATAGTTTTCGGTCATTTTTTAATTTTTAATTTTATTCTTTTTTGTCAAAATAGGTCATCCATTTGGTTTGAACGGTTAGACCGTTCGACCCAAGAACCAGACCTTGAACGATTCATTGTTCGATTCAGTTTTAAAAACCTTGGGCTATGTGCTTCAACAGCTTTAACATTTATTGAACCATTTTGGAGAAGCTACCAAAAATAGCTTCACTGAATCACTGGATAGTTGATTTCTCATCTAATGTAAGTGTATTTTTGGCCTTTTTGGGTTTTATACCAAACATGGCTTCACAGCTTTTCATGTGGGATCTACCTAGCAATTTTTGGTTCTCACACCGTGTTTGCAGCCTTTTACAACCATGCATTGGGAACATCTCCGTACTTATATCTTTTTATTCACAAGGAGATATTCACAATCTACGATTGCAAGGGCTGTGATAACAGAATGAAGACGGTTTTGTGAGGACCAAATCCAATTTCCATTGCAACGGCGAAAGTTGTTGTGTCCTGCATGAAAGCCCTCCCAAATGGGCACTTATCCACAACACCTCAAAGCAACTGAACCAATTTTAGGTGTTTAACCCAATCTTCAGCTCAAGCCTTTTAAACGGGCTAATGTCGAACGTTCACATGTTGGTTGATGGGCTTAGCAATATTGCCCTCGTTTTTGTGTCTGCGTTCTATGCACCCATGGATTTATTGGATGCATGAATCCATTAATCACAATCAATCACTTCGTCTCAGGCCAATATTTATAATATTTAGGAAAAATTCCTGATTAGTACCCTATACTTTGGGCCTAGTGCCACTTTGGTCTCCGAATTTTAAAATGCGACAATTTAGTACCCAAACTTTTAAAACGTGATAATCCAGTACCTGTCGTTAACTAGCCAGTTGTTAAGTGGCATTTGAAAAATACACAAATGCCCTTCAAGTGTTATTTAATTTTCTTTACCGACCATCTAAACGTTGACAGAAAATTAACAGTCCCAAATTTTTGCCTTTTCCATTCAAGAAAGTTGGGGGTCACGTTTGATTCGACATTCTAGTGATCCCAACTTTCTTGAATAGAAGAGGCAAGGATATGAGACTGATAATTTTTTGTTAATGTTTAGATGGTTGATAAAGAAAATTAAATGACACTTGAAGGACATTTGTATCTTTTTCTAATGCCATTTAAAGGTAAATTAACAACTAGTTAACAACAAATACTGAATTATCATATTTTAAAAATTTAAGTATTGTATTATCGTATTTTTAAATTCGGGGGTCAAAATGGCACTAGTCCAAAAATACAAAATAGGCCTACATGAGATAACCAGTTCAACCGGACACAAAAACACAACAACTAAATAAAAAACGCCCAGTTCGAATCCTCCCCCATTTTGCACAATGGTGATCCGAACCAGCGGCCATCGGAGGCTTTTGCAGCTAAAACACTAATCAGCCATGGCCCAGCCGATACATGAGGGATTAGGCGCTGGAGGCTGGATTACTTGTACGCGGGAGACAAAGACACGTCAGTTATTCCGTTGAGTTAACTGAGAGAGGAGCCACGAAGACACGTCAGTCCACTCAACAAGAAGACTGATGTGTCTTCTTCTCCCGGTTTAATACTGGAGAATGATACGAGGGAGTGATATCCGAGGATCCCGATTCTCTCCTTGAAGTGTCTCCGGTCTCCGAAGTCCACAAAAACCGGAAACGGAACTGATCCAGTTTATTGTCCCATTATGCCAAAACAACCATACTATCGTGACTCGATCTTCTCCTTGCGGATTTCTTCTCGCTTCAGACGTATATGATCGATCTTCCACCATATCTGTCTCCAACATTCTTAAAACAGAAATACTTGTTTTTTCAATCGTCAGTTTTCAATTTCTTCGGTTGTGCGACTTGACCTGCCGATGCGATGGTGGTCTGCAAATGCCGCAAGGTGCACTTTCTTCTATTCTCCATTCGATGCCTTAGTTTACCTCCTACTTTTTAAACATCGAATTAATTCACAGAAATCTTCGATTTTTATATTACGTTCATTTTTTTTTTCTTTTCACGCCCAACCATATTGTTGGATTCATTGTCATAGTCTCTTTCCTGTATTCATATTCCTCCATAGATTTATAGGCAGTCTAATTTAGTACGAAAAGGCAAATTTCTGGTATTGTGAGTTCCAAAGTTAATTAGAGCGTCTGGAAGAACACTGCATATTAATAACCTACTTAACAACACTAATATTCGGATCGGTGTTCTCTGGGCATGTCGCAGCAAATTAATAACCCACCCTGAAAAAGGAAAAAATCGTAAAACATGGAAGAGAGATAAATGTATTGCTTGGCAGACCACAATAACACTGCATTATGCTCTATGCAGCACGATTGTAATGGCAGTAAAACCGTATTTGTCATTTTAGTAGTTAGGTAGTTTGCTTGGTCGTGGAAATAGACGTCACGCCAAAATATAGAACCAGCTGATTGAATTATTTAAATGCCCTAATTTTGTCAACGTTTTGTTTGTTTCCTCTTCCTCTTCTTTTTTCCCCGGGGGTTGACTCTGCTTAATGCAGTAAGCTTTAAGCCACATGCTGTGTCGAGTATATAAGCTTTTGCTAGTTGCGCCGCATTCATCTTGAACTTACATATAATAAGTATATAATTTGTTTATATTCTGTATTCAGGCGACCAAGCTTTACTGCTTCGTGCATAAGGTTCCTGTTTGTGGGGAATGCATTTGTTTTCCCGAGCATCAAATATGTGTGGTAAAAATTTCTTCCTGGTTATCTCTTTATTTCTACTGTTTTTCTTTGTAGGACACTTGGGTTGTGAAACATCTAGAAACGTTAGCTGCATTGCATATGTTTCCTTTTCCAGTTTGCTCTACCTTCAATTTATTACTTTTCTGGAACAAGTGTGATGACTTCCAAGACAAAAAAAGAGAAAAAAAAAGCATAGTCAGATTGTTTTTGAGTAGCAAGATATCTTCCAACAATAAGATAACCTTATTACCTTCATTTTTTTATTTTTAAATAGTAAGATAACTGAAAATTTATTGAAAGGAAGAAAGAAACAATATAGAGAAAACTTGGACTCCGCTGGTAAGAGGATGCAAAGAGAACCAAAGCAAACATTAAAGTAGTACATCAAATCCCTGATATGCACCTGTTCTAAAAAGTAGTTGTTTACAAATTACAAGTTGAAGGGGCTAGAAGAGCTAGGGGCAGACCAGAAAGGGTCTAGGGGAAATAATAAGAAATGATTTAAGCACCCATATTTTAATGATGGATATGGCACTGAAAATAACTGAATGTCAAAACAGGATTCATGTAGCCATCCCCATATAGTTGGGACAAGGCTTATTAGGTGATGATGACGATGATGATCAATTCCTGATATATAGCTTTCCTAGAAAACCCCACCATTGCTAGTCAAGTCCCCTTATTCGTTACTTGGATCCAGGAGAATGAGAGATGTTAATTTGAAAAGCTATGGTTGGAACAACTTTAATTTTTGTCACAGATTCCAAGGTATATTTCCACGATAGAACACAAATTTAGGAACTGTTCAGACCAACTGTGATTTAGCTGTTTGGACGACTTACTACTAGTATTTCTGGGGCTCACTAAAACCCAATAATGGCTTGGGTGCAACTTTAAATAACTCCAACTTGGATATACAAACAGGCCTTACAGTTGCTTAATTTAAAAGACTAACTAGAATGTTTTGGAAGCAAAATTCTATGTGCATTATTAATTTATTATGTGCCCTGCATGTTTGTCACTTTAACCAAAGCAGCATGCCAGCATCTTATAGATCATTAATATCCCACATCCAGTGACTTAGTTTCCACACAAGCTATTAAGGGTGTGCAAGTTGGGTACCTTATTTGAAGAATTTACATTGCATAGGGCCTGAGCTTCTGTGCTGGCTCATTCAAATTTTAACAAAATGCTAACTGGAACCCTCCCAAGTTGCAGCCCTACAACCAATTTCCTAAGTTGGTGTCATGTTTTGCTAGGATAGTTTGTTTAGCAACATTTTTATTGACTAGTAAATGTGCACGTGATATTTCAGATAACAATAATAATTTCAGTTTCCTTTTCAAAACCCATTGAAAAAGATAAGTAATCAAAGCATGGTGTGCTGGTGGATTTAAAATTTGTATTTCTTTTGCATTGTTAATAAAATACTTCTTACTTATCATATTTATTTTTGTTTAAAATGATAAATGTATAATTGTAGAGACGTGCACAATTTTTTTGACAAATTTTTGTATTTTCTATATATTATATGATTATGACATCATGTATTGACCTATTTGACTTGAAAGAAAGAATGATATCAGTTTTTAGGAAATTTTAAATTTTCTATTCCATTTCATAATTAACTATAGAAATAATTCTTATTTATCACACTTGTCTAAGTTTAGTATGATAAATTTATAACATTTGACATCAAATTTTTCTATTTTTATAATTTTCAAATTTCTATCTATTTTTAATTTTTATTAATTATGACATCATTAGTTGACCCATTTTACCTAAATGGTTGGACTATTAGGGTGTAAGTTGGTTACGCTGGGTCGGGTTTAAGCTCTACCTAGGCCCAACCCTATGCATTGAGCCTAAGGTCAAACCTGATCTGTCCAACCTGGGCCCAACCCACACTAAAATTTGATGCACTGTGGTTGAGCTCAGGCTCAAGTTGGTCAATCAGTCCACTCTAAAACATGGCATAATGTATGTGTATATGTATGCATGCATATGTGTGTATGTAATAAACTAATTATGTTTATACTGTATCTAGTCAACTGGGGCTCGACCCAAAATGTAGAAAAGCCCAAACTTTTGGGCCAAGACCTAGCCTAAGGACAGAAAATCCAAGCTAGATGGTCTAAATTTTAGGATGGTCAGTCTAGGCTCAAGTTGAGCCTAACTAATTTGCACCCCTATGGACCATTGACCACCAATTAAATGGAAAAGCAGTTTTCTTTTTGTATTATTTTAATTTTTTTCTATTTTCATCATTAATAAAAATAACTCTTATCTATTGCACATTTTTTGTTTAATATGATTGATGAATACATAATATCAGAGATGTACCCAAAATGTTTTTCTACAAAATTTCTGTATTTTTAATATTTTTTGTGTTTCTATTTTTTTAGTTTTATTATTTAATTATGATATCATGGGTTGGCTCATTTAACTTAAAAGGTTGAACCATTGACCCACCATTTGAATAGGAAGATGGTTTCATTTTTGGGTCAGATTTAAATTTTGTATTTCATTTCCATCATTAATAAAAGTACTAATTTATCATACTTATTCTTGTTTAATATGACAAATATGTCATATTAGAGATGTGCCCAAATTTTCCACATTTTTTTTTGTAATTTTATATATTTTAAAGTTTTATTATTTAACTATGAGACCATTGGTTGACCCATTTACCCACCACTCAGACAAAAGGATGGTTTAGTTTTCATGCCAGTTTTGAACACATAGGTTTTGTATTTGTTAAAATTACTGGATATAGATTTAATTAGTAGAATTTATTGGTTAGAAACAGAAATACCTCAAATAAAGGACCTAATGGGAGAGAATGGGAGCTAACACCTTACTGAGAGGAAATTGAATGAAGTAAAAAGTAATAGTTTAAATTACATTTTCTGCCCTGCTGATAAAAAAATTACATTTTCTGTGCTCAATAGTTAAAGAAGGACCAAATTCAAAAATAGGGGTATTTTAGTCAAGAAAAGCCCAAAATCTAGATCTCATTCCCACTTTAATAGTAGTATAGATATAGATATAGATAACTGGGAAATGGTTACTGATTACAATTTTATTGATAATGAAAAAAAATATTGATGAAAAAGAGAAGTCTCACACAACAAGGCACTTTAATCACCACATAGATCTCATTCCCAGTTTTATTGATAATAAAAAAAAAAATAAAAATAGAAAGCAATACCTTTATGGGGAAGTTGCAGAAAGAGGAATAAAGGAATAGAATAGTCTCACACAACAAGGCACTTTAATCACCACATACCTTTTGAACACCCCCCCCCCCAAAAAAAATAAAATAAAAAAATAAAAAAATGGAGATCCAACTCGAACTTTCTCTGAGTTCCCACTATTTCCCTATGAGGGTAGTATGATAGGGTTCAACTTCACAGTACCACTAAGGGGGAAGAGATTGGGCCTTCAACCTAAGGTTGCAACTTGGATGGGCCTGACCTGACCTGGCCCAACCTGAGCTTTTGCACAGGTTGGGCCTGAGTTTTCATGCCCTAGGCTGGGCTTGGACCACAAAACTTGGGCCTGACCTGAACTCAGTTGGGCTTGGGTAGCCCTAACCTGGCCCAACCCAACCTGAGCATGCCCAGACAAATGCACATTATGCATTTTATTTGTATAAAAATATTTTTCTATATATGCTTTTATTAATGACATTTGTACATATTTTCAATCCATTCTACTTCTAAGAGAGAGATGGTTGTACAGAACATATTCAAAAGTTTATTCATAAAAAATCATATTTAAAAATTCTTTCAAACCTGACCAATCCACCCGGCCTTAATTGTGTTGGGTTAAGCTCAGGTTGGGCCTGGGTTGGTAAACTGATGCTTGACCTTGGGTTGGGCCAAGTTCGAGCCTTGGGTTTGAATCTCAGGGTTGGGCGGGCCTGGGTTGACCATCAATCCAACCCAACCTGCCCAAGTTGCACCCCTATCTCACTCTAGTATATTAAGGGAAGACAGCAATGTTGACCTCTAGCCTCCAAAATTCCACTAGGAGCTCACCTCCTTGATGTTTACATTTGACAACAGGGTATTAGCTTTTGAGAAGTTCTATTCCCTTCAAATGCCTGATAAGATTATCACATTCCTTTCAAATGCATACAGAAAGTTTTTCATTGGTTTCTTTGTCCTTAAATTAGAAAATATATGTCATCACATTAGCAGAGCTTGACAGATTTCCCTACTCTGGGTCACCTATCTGGTTTAAACAAATTCTCTGCTATTTAAATTATATTTTCTTGGTGATGGTTCTAGTGATTTTCACTTGAAATATTTTTAAAAGCTTCTAATTAAACAAGTATTGAATGCTTGGTTAGAGATGATAATTTGACCTATCCTGTTGGAGCTCCGACCTGCCCCGCTCCGGTCAAGGTGGGTTTTTTGTCCACCCCATCCCAAACCCGCCCCGATTAAAAGTTTGTGAGTGTGTGTCTGGGAATATAGGTTTGCAAGTAAGAGGCTATAGCTTCTCCTGGTGCCCTTCTTTTAGAAGACATTTTCAGGACTGGGAAGTTGACCAAGTGGCTGAGCTATTTGAGTTGCTGTCGAACCAGTCTCTTAGTCTGTTAGAAGAGGACTCTTGGGCCTGCAACTGGAGTGCTGATGGGCTGTTCTCAGTTAATTCTTTTGCCAGGAATCTAACAGATGCCTCTTGATTATTCCTGCTGATAAAATCTGGTACTCAATTCCCCCTTCTAAGGTAAATGCCTTGGTTTGGGCTGTAGTGTTGGATAAATGTCTATCCAAAAAGAATCTGGTGAGAAGAGGGATTCAGATCCAGGATTTGTTGTGTGTGCTGTGTGGTCAAGTGGAAGAGGACAACAACCATGTATTTCTGCATTTCCCTGTTTCTGCAGCAATCTGGGGGCACTTCTTTTCTTGCTTGGGCTTATCTTGGGTCATGCTGAATGCTGTGTTGGAACTGTTATGGTGCTGGGAGTTTCAAGGCTTGTCCAAGTTGGCAAAAAGTGTGTGGTTGTCTGTTCCTGCAGTAGTGACTAGTACCATCTGGGGAGAAAGAAACAGAAAAATTCTCCAAAACAGATCAAAGGATGTAGATTATCTAATTTCCTGTACCTTTGGTAATCTAGTTTCTTGGACTGCAGCTGCAAAAGGTCTCCAGACCAGGGTGTTTGGAGCCCAGCTGAGTTCTACAAGCTTGTTAGAGTTGTAATGTAGTTTGGGATTCTGGCCTCTGGTTTTGGCTCTTTATTGGAGCCTCTCTGTAATCTTTTTTCTATTTCTAATAAAATTACTTTACCTTTTTCAAAAAAAATATAGGTTTGCAAGTAGGAATGACCAGGGCGGGGTGGTGGGAGTCGTGGGACAAATTTGGGGATCCCCATTCCCTGCAGGGAAGGGGATGGGGTCATGTATAGTGAGACATACACTTAATAGATGGATTTTGTTATTTCTTCTTTTGAGCATGATTTAGCCAAAAAATTTGAAGTGATTCATATGTCATGCATGCAAATGATTTGTTGCTGTAGTTTGTGTACTTGTCTGTTTTATATCATCAAAAAGGCATAAACATATACTTATTTGCTTATTTTCCTTAAGGTTCGTACTTACTCAGACTGGGTAATAGATGGGGAATATGATTGGCCTCCTACGTGCTGCCTATGTCATGCCATACTTGAAGATGGAAATAATCCTCAAACCACTCGATTGGGTTGCTTGCGTACGTTATTACTGCTCTTATTTTTAATTGTTTTTCATTGTAAGTCTGCATTTTGAACTTTTCTGTCTTTGTAGCTTATGTTTCTTTTATGCTTTTTCAGATGTTATACACACAAAGTGCTTGGTATCCCATATTAAAAGTTTTCCTCCACACACTGCACCAGCAGGATATGTGTGTCCCATGTGTTCCACTTCGGTAAAATCCATTTATAGAAGCTTGTTATGATATCATGTCTGAGTGTGTCTGTGTGCATGACTCAGCTTGTGTGTCTGAATTCCTGATTATTCTTGGACAGAGGGCAGTAACCATTTGCAATGTGCCTAAGTCCGGTAAAATTGCAAATATTTCCTGGCCTTCAGTGTTATTCCATTAGCAATGGTTTTGAATGTTCTTTGTAATCTGTGATGATTAATGTTTTCGAACTCGTGGTTAGCTAATCATCAACTGCCAAAAATGCGGGTTGTTAGGTCCATATCCAATCCATCCTCCCAAGGGACTGGGTAGCTGGCATCATCATTCAGTGGGGACCTTTCTTTGTGGTTGAAGGATGATGGATAAAGGGATGTGTTTTAATCATTGTGAAAGAGGAGAGCAGATATTGTCTACCCACTCTATTAAACGGGTTATCTTTTAATCACAAAATGATTTATTTCTAGTAGTGATTATATTCTTCCATGAATAAATCAGGTCATCTGAGATTGTCATTATTTTAATTTTTTAGTATGTAGATAGGAATTTACCTAATTTGTGTAATTTTCTACTTAATTCACTGGGTTGGTACTCTATTCTAGTAACACTGTCGTTGTTATTGTTATTTTTTATCAGTATTGTTAATCAAAGCAATTATAATTTTTGGATATGGTTTATTTCCAATTGGTGTTTTGTCAATGCAGATATGGCCCCCTAAAAGAATCAAAGATTCAGGATCCCGTCTGCATTCAAAACTGAAGGAAGATATTATGCAAGTAAGGTCCATGATAGTCCCTGGGATCATTTATAAATAAGTGCTTTATTAAAAACATGATGCTTGCTGTATGCTATCATCATATTAGGAAATTGGCTTGGGTAATTTCAAGAGGTGGTCCTCGGTGCAATATGGCTCTCTCATAGGGCTTCAAAGTATTTTTCAAGTATTATGGCAGTCAACTGTAAACAATAAATGCAACCTAGTACTTTGTAGATTCATATACGAAATGCTTTCTGGTATATCTTTCAGGTTATTTACCATTGCTCATGAAAACACCCTAGCATCTACCTAGAGAAATTTCTTTTGATCTATTTCACGAATTAATTTAGTGGGGCCGGATCACAAAGCCACCGGTTTCAGATATAAATAGCATAAATGGTGAATCTCTTTGACATGGCAAGAATCTCCTTTCCCCTAAATAGTGGTGGAGGGGGAAATAAAGAACCTTGAGTTAAAATTTAACATATTTTACAAACCATTTCTTCTGCAGGAATAATAAGGATACAAGCTAATGAAGAAATTAGGCCTTTTACTTTGGTAATTGGTACACAGACATGTTTGCGTGCTTGGAAAAAAAAAAGCGGTGTAAGTTGGTACACAATTTCTAGCGCCATATACCTCTTGTTCACACTGAAGGTCAAAACTCTAATTCTTGTTAGGATATCATAGAGGACTTGCCTAGATAAACACAAATTTAATTATTTATGAAATGCCCCATAACTATACCTGTTCATGGGGGGCTCGGGCTTAGCTTTTACCAAAATTTGAATGGGCCTGGCCAGAATCCCGGGCCCAAAGCAGTGTAAAATGATCATAGGCCAAGCCTGAAACCCAGCTCGTGAACAGGTCTGCCCATAACTAATGTTTCAGGGGTTTGGTTGTGAGGATTTGCCTCTCTCTCTCTCTCTCTTGTGCAAGGGGGTGAAGGGGTGAAATTGAATCACTATAGAATCTTCTTTTCCTTCACTATATTGACAGTACATTGCCAATATGTTGGACATATCTTGAAAATTGCAATATATTAAGAAGTTATTGATCTAAAAACAATTCTGAAGTTCTGTGGACATTTTCCAACATCAAACATGTACTTACTAGTGCTTAGTGCTTATACCCTTTTTGGAAAAGGATATTCCTGGTCTAATTAAACCTGGAAAAGGACCTGCCCAGGGGATTGACTATCACTTGTTCCTGGGTTCAAAGATCATCAAATAGCTGGGTTGACACAATGGCCAAACAAGGGATAAATATGTTTCAATTCTTCTGGGGACAATTTAGGATGATTAGTTGTGAAAAAAGAAAGCGGACTGATTAGGTAATTTCCTGGGCAGTTAAAGTTAGCCAAACAGTTAGGATACAGACATGTTGAGGTGGACAGGGACTCAAAAGTAGTAATTTCCTGGGCAGCAAACAGCAGCCATACCCCGTGGACGTTTAAACATGTGATTATGGAAGTGGAAAAGATTGCAAAGGAGGTTGAGGCTGAATTTAAATGGATCCAAAGAAGTGCAAATGGGCTAGCTGATGTTTTAGCAAAACAGGGAGCATTGAGACAATGACTATTTTGGGCTGCACTGCAATGAGGGATAGAATAGAATGATTAAAGGGATCAACAGTCCCATCACCAAGTTGTATAAACTGTTCACAATCTGAAAATTAATAAAATACATGTTTACTGATCAAAAAAAGAAAAGAAAGGGGACTGATTAGGTAACAATGCTAGCCTAATCTTTATGGTGTCCGGAACTTTGTTGTGCTTATACTTTTATCCACAATTAATAAAATTTTTACTGTCATCAATAAAGAGGGATGCATTTAAGTTCTAATTTCCAATTGAAAATTTGGAATATTTTGTAACAACTCCACATATTAGTTTATGTTGGGTGAGGCCCAAATAGATAGGCAAAAGCACTTAAAATTGTGAAACATGTATGGCTCAGTTTGCTCATCAATTATGGCAGATGATAAGAAGTTTACATAAGTTTGCTTAATTTAAAATGGCCAACAGTTGTTATTTGTTATGAAGACTATGTTTTGGCTAACATTTTTTTTTTATGCAGACTGGTATGGAGAAGAATTTGTTTGGAAATCATCCTGTTTCATTGACAGCAACTAAATCCCATGTTCCTCTTGCTATTGCTTCCGATCCACTTAGGCGTATAGCTGTTTCTGGAGGCACAGAGAATAGTAATGCAAATGCCTCAGATTCTATAAAGGACCCAACCTTGACATCTGCGGCGGTTGAGGAAAGAAACTTGGTTGAAGGATATTCACCTATGACTGGAATAGGCTCATCAAAACTCTCAGCTACTGATATTGTGGAGATAGATGGTCCCAGTTTAGTGGGAAATCAATTCATATCTGATCATGAGCCAAATTTTATGAAATGTACAAGTCCTTCTGGTGTAGGTGTACATTTACATTATAACTTGCATTTGAAATGGATAACAAACCTGAACTTCTCTATGCTTGCATGTATTAGAAATATAATGTTATTAAATATGCACGTATAATGTATATATTTGATGTATTTTTTTCACCATGCACATGCATACCTTACTGTTGTTTGACAGATTCTTTTATGATGCAGCCTGGTGCTACAACAAGGAAAGGTGCTTACCATGTTGACAATCAAAGTTCTGAAACTCAGTACTATGCTGATGATGAAGATGGAACCAGAAAGAAATATACTCGAAGGGGTCAGTAGAACATTGTGCTATTTCTTGATTACTCAAACCCTGGTTTATGCTAATCATAGTTGGCTGGCTGGGAAACATATTATTATTTACCCTTTCTTTTGACTTTCTTATTTGTTAATTTTGGTAAGTTTTTTTGGGGGCAAGGTTCATTTTGATAAGGTTAAGGTGATGCCAAATTTGTAAAGATTGTCAAAAACCATGCTGAGCACAAGGTTCAAAGTTTTGATACGATACACCTTGTATCGGGCGTATCATATCATATCTTTAGCGGTCCGATACACCTGTTTATGGGTGTTTTCTACCGATACACCTCTGCCGATACACAGATGTGTATCAATACTTTGGACCATGAACTGAACCCCAAGCTATTGCAACCATGGGTGTTTTTTTTTTTTTTGGGTGGATAAAACATACAATAAGCAAAACAGACAATGGGAAAAGAAAAACGAACAAGAAAACAGAGAAAAACTATGAAACCAAAGGAGAAGCTATAAAGCTTTCCAGCCAAGCAGGGGGGGGGGGGGCGTTCCATTCTGCACTCAGACCCCTTTTACCTTTTGCAGCTAAGACATGGGCTGCCTGAACCTTTTCATGACTAACATGGAAAAACTTTGAATCTGGGCCTAACAGAGCAAAAATATCATGCAATAACGACCACAGCACCAGTGAGCACTCAAAAGACCTTTCATTAATAATATTAACAACAGTGCTAGAGTCAGATTCAAGCTACACATTTAAAAACCCTCAACGGTCAACTGCCAAACAACATTCCAAAATAGCGAAAAATTCTGCAAATTCAGCTGATACAGCCCTGCAGGGGCCACACCTTGCTTTAAAAAAAGAGTTCGAGCCAGAAAATAACAAAAGGCCAAAACCACTTGAACCTGTAACAGTGAAACTACCATCTGAATAAGCTCTGCAACAAGATGCTGGCATCTGATCCACAGGAGCAGGATTCGGAGTAATATTAATCTGAGAAAAGCCTATTGATTTTGGATGGGAAGCTATCTCCACTTCCTCCATCAGCCTGTTTGCACATAAAATAGATAAAGATGGATTAGGCTTAATTTCATTGAACACGAAATTATTTCTAGCCTTCCAAATAAACCACATCAAACACACAGCATAAGAAATTGATTGGAGTCCATCATTTCCATCAGTGGCATTCTGACTCAACCACCATGACCACCAAGGCACCAACTCTCGAAAGAGTTAACACTATACTACCGGAGGTTGTTAGATTTAATCTACTGCCAAACCAAGCAGCCTGGGCATGGTCACATAGAAAGAGAGCATGAATAATGCTCTCATCCGCTTCTTCACATAGAGGATAGCCAGCCTCAACACCTATTCCTCTTCTGACCAGGACCTCTGTAACTGCCAAGCTATTATAACAGGCTTTCCACACAAAATGCCTTAATTTTGGGGGAATACCAAGTTTCCAGGTGGTTTTCCATTGGGATTTAGATAACAGGCTGGTTCTAACTGCAGAGTTTGAGGCATGATAAGCTGACTTAACTGAAAATTGATCCTTGGGATCTGGGGTCCAGACTAGTTTGTCAAAACCCCTAACTCTTGGCAGTGCAGTAGCACATATGTGGGAAGCAGTTTACGAATCAAACAGTTCTACTATTTTTTGGACATTCCAATCATTTGTTTGGGGATCTATCAGGTCACATACCCATTTAACTTGAGATGGGTTTATTCTTGGACCCATTGGTCTAAAATTTGGCCATCCCAACATCCAGGGGTCTTCCCAAATGTCCAAACCCACCCCTGTACTCACACTCCAACACAGGCCCTCTCTCAAAACATCCCTGCCAGCCATGAGACTCTTGAAACCCCACGAGCTATTTGTAGGGACCTTAGCAGCCCAGAAAGTTTTCCTCCTCAGATACCTACCCTCAATAACTTGACCCCAAAGACGTTGCTTATTCGAGTAAAACCTCCAAGCCAGTTTGGCCAGTAATGCCAAGTTTGAGGCTTGTGGATCTCTAAAACCCAGTTCTCTACTAAATTTACTTCTACACACATTCTTCCAACTGACCCAATTAACTTTTCTTCTTTCTTTTGAACTACCCCACAGAAAATTCCTTTGAGTTTTGGCCATTTCCTGACATAGCCCTTTTGGGATTAGGAAACAAGACATTGCATAGGTAGGTATGGAACTCAACACAGACTTTATTAACACTGCTTTTCCTGTAGGAGAGAGAAGAAAGGGGCTTTCCAACTGTTTGACCTAGAGTTCATCCTCTCACCTAGGAAATTAAATAGCTCTTTTTTAGATCTACCCACAACCATGGGTGTCTGTAAATCCATTTTGTTGCCTTTTCCCATTTATTTAGATTTCTTTTTTATTTTTTTAAGGTCTGAGTGATGGTAAATGGTTTCAAACCACTTTTTGTTCAATCTAGGTTCTTGATATTACTGCCCCTCTTAACGCTGTAAGATGATGAAACAAGGACTCACAGGCATGTCCATGGAAAAGTATATGCTATTTAAGATACTCATCATCATCATCATATGAGCCTTGTCTCAACTATATGGGATCAGCTATATGAATCCTGTTCTGCCATTCCATTTTGTTCATGCCATATTCATTGTTAATTTATGAACCCTTAAATCATTTCTTGCCACTTCAACTAATGTCCTTTGGGTCTGTCCCTGACTCTTCTAGCCCCTTCGTCTTCTCTGCAGGTGACTAAACCATCTTAGGCTGCATTTGGCAGTCAGGTAAAGAAGCCTATTGCACTTATAATTATAAATAAGTCCAATTAAAAAGTTGTCTTAAAAAAGTCAGTAAGGGTGTTTGGTGAACATCACTTACCATTGCTCCTTATCTCTATGAAGAAATATCAAGTGTTTGGTAACATCGGTAAGAGAAGTCCTTTGAGGGTTAATGGAAGCCTGTTTTTCTGGATTTATATCAACTACTTCTGGATCTTTTTTCCTCTTGATTTGCCCTTCTGCTGATCCATCTCTGGATCCATCATCATGAGATCATTTTCAGCCGATTGGCTCAAAATCCTAGATGTCCAATGTCATATATACCCATGTGGAAACGCATATAAAGGAATTTGTTTTCGATAAACATGAGAAACGCATATGTCCATCCTTGGCTTCCAAAACACGTATATGTTAACTGAATTTCTGAACGTTATTTAGCTCAATCTCCTCACAAATTAGGTGCTATGTTTTGATGGTGCTCAGGACTATTCTAGTAATTAGTATTTTGTAAGCCATAGTAAGTAGTGTTATACATTTGAAGTAGCATAACGTCTCTCTATATTTCTGTGTGTAGAATCTTTAGGTTTGTTACGGAGTGGGGATGGCTGCTTCTCAGTTAAGTCCCTGACATCTAAACTCAGCAGCACTGGTTCTGCTAATTTCCCTTGTAAACAAATTTGGAACCCTGTTTCTCCCTCCAAATCCAACTTCCTTGTGTGGACTATGGTGCTGAACAAGTGCCTCTCCAAAATCAGCTTGGAAAGGAAGGGTCTACAGCTCTTATCTCTCTTGTGTGGGCTTTGCAGACTCTTTCCTGAATCCACAGGCCACCTGAGCATCCACTGCCCTATCTCCTCTAGAGTGTGGGAACATTTTCTCACGGCTGCTGGAATATGCTGGGTCATGCCAAGATCAGTCAAAGACCTGTTCAGCTGGAAGAGTGCATGCTTGAAGGAAAGAGGACATTTAGTATGAAAGACAATCCATGCGGCTGTTCTTTGGGTAATCTGGTCAGAAAGAAACAGTAGAGTCTTTTGCAACAAGTCAAAGAGCACTGATGAGTTAGTGCAGCAGGCGGTCAGCAAGCTGATATCTTGGGTGTCTGTTACTCCTAACTTTAAGCACCTGAATGTGCCTGAATTGTTTAGGTTCCAGTCCATTTGGAGTCTGTAATCTGGCTTTGTGCCCTGGCTAGTCCTTCTGTGGCCAGTTTTTCTGTTTGTATCTTGTATTTCTTTATTAATAAAATCTTCCCTTACCTTTCAAAAAAAAAACATTGTTCTTGATTTTTAAAAGGGTAGATTGTGTCATTTAACAAAAAATATGGGGTTAGTGTTGAACATGAAAGTTATGAAAATAGAGATCCATGAAGTTAAAATAAAAAAAGGAGCTTTGAACTCTTTCTGCAGAAATGAGGTTAACAGTCCCCTGACCAATTGACCGGATATTGGTCCAATCCAATTCGGACCAGTATGAGTCCATTATAGATGGACCAGGTCCAATCCAATCTGATGAATACTTTGGACCATTCTAGACTGGTCAATTCAATGTTTGGACCGTCCAAACTGTTCAAATTGGTTTTAATTTAGATTGGGTCCAACCCAAACCTGGTCCATTGACAAACATACTATTATGTCAATGGACCAGACATTGATTCAGTCCAATATAAATCCATTACAAATGAACCAGGTCCAATCCAATCCAATTAATACTTTGGTCCATTAACTCTGGACTGGTCCAATTCAATATGTCTTATTGGTCCGTCCAATCTGTTCAAATTGATTTTGATTCAGACAGGGTCCAACCCAAACCTGGTACATTGACACCCCCTATGTAATGCCAAATATTGCCTTAGTCTACTTTCCCTCATTTTATCACCTATTGGAACTGCTCCTAAGTTTCCTACTCATCCATCTCAACAGACATATTTCTGCTACACTCACTTTTTGGATTTATTGTTTCTTGACTTCCCAACACTTTGTTCCCTACAACATTCCTGGCCTTAACCATTTTATAATATATTCCATATCCTTTTTCTTTTTTCAGTCATAGTATCATCATAGAAAAAGGTCTAACAGTTTATAATTGTTACTTTATAATGTTTTATAGGAAAAAAGTCGTTCATCATGAACATTAGCTGTTCACTTGATCAAATAAGCAAGGAGAAAGGAAAATGTTGCATTAAGTGTCCCTCTAACTCCATTGAGTATCAGAATCCAACATGTCTGTCATGGGCTCAGGACACTTGATTCATTTAAGAGGATCTATGCAAAACTGCCTTGTAAAATGAACTTGTAAACTTCACAGTAATGATTTGGATGGTCAAAAAAAGGCGGTGTTACAGTTGAACATAAGTACCTGATGATGCACTTCTTATTTAAGGAGTTGCCAAATCCTTGCAAGTGTTGAACAGAAGCTAATCCTTAATTTTATTTGTGTATGCATTTTGGAGTGTTACAATCCTGTTGGTATGGATTGAAAGGTCAAATCTTGGATGCCATGCCAGATGCTGAAAATGGCCAAATTTCATTAACCATATAATATAATGTTGAGCGCTTGTGGTTCCAAACTAGTATATGCTTGGGAAGGGGGTGTTAAATACAATGTGGTCATAATTCTGATTGAGCTGGATAACTGAGTTGACTTTTCTGAATGTTGACCATCCTGGATAGAATTGTCTGGTTCCTAGACAAGCTGGGTGAGTTCCATACTGAGTGTATCTCGGGTTAATTTTTCTCTCCTTAAGTTGGCAGGTACTCAAATTGATAAAACAAACTTAAAATCTCATATATTAGGGAAAATCTGTGCTGCTGGAAAGACATGATACCGGAAGAGCTTTGACCAATCCCCCCCCAAGGTTGAATTTTGATAAATACCACCTGATTGGTTATCACTTTTATGATACTGGTTGATTGGTTACAAGTTTTTCCAGTATCATAGCTGATCCCCATATATTATCCATTTATCCTACATCTGAAACTGAAAATAACATATTCAACTGAGAAACTTATATGATATATTTGCAGGTCCTGTCCATCATAAGTTTCTAAGGGCTTTGCTACCTTTCTGGTCTAGTGCACTTCCAACTCTGCCAGTAACTGCACCTCCACGCAAGGATGTGTCTAACAGTGATGATGTTCCAGAAGGTCGTTTGCGTCATCCAAGGCCTTCAAGGATGGACCCAAGAAAAATTCTCCTCGTAATGGCAATCATGTACTGATGCTTTTCTTCCCTTGCTTTTTATCTGTTTGAACTCACAACTTTGCGTGGGGGAAGGGTTGAAACAATCATAATCTAAATTGAGGTGTGGGTTAGTTGTATCTGACTGATACTGCAGCAAAATAGATGATAACATCACTCATCGAAGGGTTTAAAGGAGAAAAGTAAGTATATAAGAGAACAGGAATTTTCATCAGGATTAGTGACAAAAAGCAGGTTTCCCCTGCCTCATGGATCATAATCCTCCCAATACGATGTTTGGGACCATGTTGTTTACAAAACTCTTTTATCCTGGGCGTTATCCATATTTTGTATTCCTGTGTGGTAAGAATGTTGRACTGACTGGGCAGTTGGCATAGGAAAACCATGTGGGACATAAATTAGCTCTTTTCATCTTAATGTAGAGTACAAAATAGGGGGCAAGAGAGTAAAAAGCAGGGAAAAAAGTTGCAAATGTTGATTATCATTTTTAGCTCACTATTAGCTCGTGATCTTGTGCAGGGCATGCATGGCAACGATGGGTATTTTATATTATAGGCTAGCACAACGCAGTCTTGGTGAAGACCTGCCCAATGATGAGCAACAATAATTATTTGTCAAAATACATCTGAGATTACTAGTCTATTTGGCCATCGGGACTTCTGCTTCTGTTGTCCCTGTGTACTTATTGGCGCCCATTTATAAAATGCAGTTCAACCATTTTTGTTGCCTTGCAGGATTTCGGATAACAACAAAAATGTCACTTTTAACTCTCATACTCGTTTTGTTCGTTCACATCTTTGATCTCTCAGATATGTGTGCCACTGAGTTTAATGGGAGAAATTGGTTAAAGGCAAAATATTCTATTGACTTGGAATTTTTTATTGTTAATTATTTTTCTTCCATGGACTATTGATGTAAGAAATCTGGAAGTTAAGGCTGAATTAGTTTAATACGTTGGGATGTGTAATTGTTGCATCAGGAGCAGGAAATATTCGGGACATCATGCTTTGAATGTATAATTGTTCATATAAATCCATACTCCTGGAGTCCTGGTTGATCAATTCTGGAATCCTGTCCATGATCTTTCTACTGTCCAAAATAATGCAGCTTATCAGATAATCTAGATGGTTCTGATTAGATGTCAGTGGATTTTGTTAAGTGATAAAGCTGCCCTTCCCTGACCCTATTAGGTTAGGGTGGGGTCAACTTTAATCGGGTTTTCGATTCGGGTTGGTCCGTGCCAATTATGTCATGTTGACAGCAATACATTGAAACATTTGGGGAAGAACCCTACCTGAGTATACAGATACTATTCGTACGATAGGTTGGGTTAGGCTTGGATCGAGCCGAATCCACACTGAACCCAACCCGTTGATATCCTAGTACTGATTTTTATTTTTCATTTTTCCTTTGGTTAGCGGTAAGCAACTTGGCACAGAGCCCCTGCTAGGCTGCTACCTAGTACCTACTACCAGTAGTAAACGCAAACTAATCTGAATGATTCCTGAATTCGAAGGTAAAGCTCGCTGATGCACACCGTACCAATAGGTCCAATACCAAGTCCTACGTACTGTTGGCTGGAAAGTGGAAATTCGACAAAAGCCCAAAGGATTGGGATGGGCTACTCGAAACCTGGTTCAGCTTAGAAACTAAGCACCTGAATTTTATTAGAAAATTAATCAGATTTTTTCGCTAACCAGAAAATTAATCAGATTACCAGAACGGCAGAACCCAAACGATGTCATCCGGATGGTTGACAAGCAACGCGGAGCAAATGTCAACCAGTTCGGCATTCTGCAAGGCAAAAAATAACAGGCTTAGAAATTTCGGATGAATCATACTCGTAATAAGTTCGGTCATTGTGCCCACACAAAAAGCAATATGGTAGGGTCAATGTTTTAACCTTTAATAGATTTAATTCATTCTTGTCAAAAAACCACAATTAATACCTTCTGTATTTATGATATCGGAGAAGTACGGATACACGATGCAGAATTCTGAATTCCAGCTCTCCCCCTATAAACCACATCCTGCCCGTGAATTTGGCATCAATTCATGGTCAGGATGCATTCCCCCTGTACTTTAGGACTATAAAATTCTGATCTGAGCTGATTGGTCATTGTCCCATTAATATATTATATGTTTTTGAAGAATATATTTCTGTTTATTTGTTACGCAAAAACCCAAAATTACGGACAAAATATGACGAAAACCCAATATTTTGGGAAAGATTCCAAAATTATTCTATGTTCATTAGGACTTCTTCATTTTGGTTGCCAGAACACTCAAATTTATGAAAACAATGAAATTTAAACATATATAGAGAATGACAAGTTGCAGAAGCCAATTTTCTGTAACAAAGTAACAATAGCCAAAGCTCAAGGTTTTGAAAAACCGACCTGGAAATGAAACTGCTTGGCCACCCTTTTCCAGGTTAGCAATTCAACATCCGGATCAAGCATTTCAAGCCATCATATATATATATATAAAAGTAATGTGGTCAGACTAGAGCCCCAGTTCAGACACTTGGCTTCCTATTCATTCAGGAAATAACTTTTTTGTAGTGGTTTGCTTAACCAAGTAACTAACATATTGCAAGAACAGAAAAAGACGGCATTTATCGTTTACGATACACATTTGTAGAGCTAGTGCAAGTGTGCAACCTATTTGCAAGCTGATACAATTTTTGTGCTTAAAATTAACATCGGTTCCAAGAAAAAAAGAAAGGCTTGTTATGCAGATTACTGCAACACAAAAACAGAGTAGACCGCAAGTTTGAAAATTGATTGGAACCGTTTCTCTTCTTTCTGCTTTAAGTTGAAATCCCAAAAGTCTACCTCAATAACCTCATATGATCAAGTCTTACAACATTCCCTAATTTTGAATCTGTGAAGGGTTTCTTATTCTATTCATTTTTTCTTTCTTTCTTCCTTATCTTTCTTGAGGTGAGGTAACTCAACTATATTGTTTGAAATTGCCATAACATCCTACTGTTTTAGGAGGCCCTTTAGCAGCTAAATCAAATTATATCAGAGCAAGCGTTATAAATGTGATGAATGGTCTCTATCAAACGAACCATGAAGTATCTCCTATAGAGAATTTCTTGCCTTCTAAGTGTTTGAGAGATTGAACCTAAGGAGTTTAGTAGAAACTTCTCATTTGTATGCTTTTCTTTATCCCAAAAATGGAGATTCATACCCATTCAAAGCTTGTCTCCTTTGGCAAAACTAAAGCAATGAGGCACTCTGATGGATTAGGAGCAATGGAAAACATGGAACAAGTATCAGTTGAGTAGGGAAGAATGAAGAGTAGTCTTGCCCACATGGATTTCCCTGATGGGATCTTGATCACTCCCGCACATTCCCTCTGCTTCAGGTATGATATGAAATCCTGAAACTGTAATAAAATCATAAAGTTGTTAGAGTACTACCACTCTACACTCGTGTATACAAAGATCTACAACCTTTCCCTGACAAATGTATTTGTCATTAGGTTCAAGAGTATATATACAAGTCCTGTTAGGAAAAGATTCATTATACACATGTTAGATTAGCAACCAAAGTTATTTCCATAAATGAGGTAAGAACTTACGCCTTTATGGTCACCAGCGGTCACAGGGAGCAGCCGACAGACCTCTCTCTACATCACATTTCAAAATGTGAGACAGAAAGTCGCAAAATATAAACAACCAGAAGAAAGATACATGTTAATTTTTCTCCATATAAGTAAATATTTACATGCCTGTAAGAAAATGGAAAACCTGACGGATGATTACATACATAGAAAAAGGAAAAATACCATGTTCAACTTAGAAAGTCATAATAAGGATTACTAATTGGATTGACAAGAATAGGTGTGGTATACACTATTTAAACATTTCTTTTCCTCAACAAATGGAGATATGAACATGTATATCAGATGGACTTCCAGGGAAATGAAACCAAAGATGGTCTTCATATAGATCAGGGATTTAGAGTGCCTCTTTGTATGGTGGAAGGCCTTTAAGTGAGTAATTTATGTGATAGAAAGGGCTGTCTGTTCATAATACTCTGTATTCTTGCACATCCCATCATCTACTTGTTTTTTGTCAATAACTTTACCTCAACATATACAGTTGAATTTCCTGAAAAGGTGATGCCAAGAAAGGGCATCATACTACTTTTTTGAGAGAAGACTGATATAAAGCATACTACTTGATTACATGAGGATGAATTGGAATTTTAGATTACATGAGGATAAGACAACCAAAGTCCACCCAAAAGAATTAACTCTTACTAAATTTATATCTATTTACCATGCACAAAAGCAGGAGCAAGCAGTTAATTGAGTCCTAATTTCTCAAGGAAAGTTTTTCCCAACCAATTCAGTTGTATTATTATAGACTCTCCTCAATATTTTGTCTATTTAAGAAAACAATACATTAAATGCTATCTTATTTACACATAAGAGATTCTCCTCATAAATTTGTACGAAAATAGCACATTAACCATGTAAAGTTTTTCTGTACTTGGGTTTTTGTGCCCTTTTTTATATATTTATTTTATTTCCTTTTGTTTTTTTTTTCTTTCTTCTATTTTATTTTCTTTAGTCCCATTTTCTTTGTAAGCACTTGTAAACATTGGTATCATGAAAAATATGCACTAAATTCCACTAAAATGCTTCCATTTCTGTAGAAACCAAAGCAAAACTTTCGCTGTCAAGTTTTAGGTAGAACTTTGATAATTTTTAGTTCTAAAATTGCAGTAAGATTTTGATTGTTCAAATCAAAATATTATTACCCATAGCATTAAAAGATTTACATATAATTTGTCAAAACACAGATGCATGCCAAATAAAACTCTAAAAAACATTAAAAAAAAGAAAGAAAGAAGGGTGTTTGTGTAAAGAAATAGAAGGGAAAACCAAAAGATTAAAACTATATTTGAAAATTTCAAATAAGCACAAATGAATGCCTAATTGTTGTATTTATTTGTGATAATGATGCATTACATATGATGATGGCTGTAAACTATTTATATATATATTATTTGGATTTTCAGAATACCATACGTGTGCAATTACATATCGCTTTCAACATTCTATATTTTCTCTTCTGACATGTTATTTTGGTTCTATAATGAGTCCTGACTGTGTACTGATGTTTATAAACTTCTATTCATTAATTCCACTTCTACAATTTTACAATGTTTATTATTTATTCTTCTAAAGGTTTATCATAAATTTCCAACAATTTCATAGTGTTTTCATAATTTCCACAATCTTACAATATTTCTCTAGGTTTCTATAAACTTCCACAAATTAATTCTACTTCGACATGGGCCAAAGTTTACACTGAAATTGAAGGTTTAAAGCTTACTCCTACTTAATCAAGTGTTTAACCAAAGAGGGCAAAGACAAGCTACAAGTTAGAGGCATGGAATGGATATCTAGGCTTTTGTATACACTGCAATGAGAAGATGAGTCCAACAGTCACATGTTACTCCATTGAACGGTTAGCACTTACTCTGCTTTCATTTTTTTTTTTTTTGAGATATTTTGGAGTAGGGTTCAACTATGATACTGGAAAGACATGATACCAGAAAAACTTATAACCAATCAACCAATATCATAAATTTAGTATCCAATCAAGTAGCATTTTTTTTTTTTTGATCAATAACACTTTCATTAAATCATCAATAGAAAATTTACAAGAGGAAGACAAACACACTTATCTTCCAAGAGCAGCAAAGAACCTCATGAAAAGGAAAAAAAGAAAGAAAAAACACACTATAGTTACAGCTTAGCCCAAAACAGTGAATCCCTTTCTGCCCCTTGTTTAGCTAAACCATCAGCTAGGGAATTAGCCGATCTTTTAATCCAATCAAGTAGCATTCATCAAAATTCAAAGGGGGATTTTGATTGATCAAAGATCTTCCAGTATCATACCTTTCTGGCATAAGCTTTTTCTCACAGCCTCACCAATAGAAGTGGTTTTTGGTGAACACAACCTCGGTGTGTATTGCCATCTACAAGGATTTCAGGGGTGTCTCAGACCCTCCTGTTTTTCTTTTGAATCTTTGTATGACATGGAAAGGTCTTTTTGCTGGTTGGTATGGGCATGTTTCTTGTCATGTTCCTATGTACATACACACTCATACATATTAATACTAATACATTCACCATTTCCGAAAAAAGCACAGGTGCCAACAGTAAGATCTCAAAAATTTGCTTCAGTTTTTATGTTTTTATTATGTTTTGAAATCAACAATTTAATTACCAAAACAAAAAATAATTTAATATTTACTTGGTGGTGTTTCCCCATACCATGAATTTTGGAGGTCGACATATTGAATACCTAAAGAGAACCAGCAGATGCTTCTACTTTTATGGAAACAGCCTTCAGAGGTCCATTTACTTCTAGGGACCCATTTACAGATACATCTACTTGTACAAATTAATTCTCGTATCAATGCATTATTCAGAATTTTCTTTGTGGGGAAACTCTTTAACTAGGATATTTGTCAGATGAAAAGAATGCCATGCACAACAACTATAATGCTTGATATGATACCTTTTATGCCACTTGGGGATTGGGGGCGTTTTTAGGGATGAGAATGGGATTGTTTCACCCTGTTCTCAGGCCCGATTGGAGTGGGTGACTCTCTTAGAGCCAAGATCTATGCAGTTATAGGAGTCCAGAGAGCCAAGGAGATGAATATAAGAAAACTCGTAACTGAAGGGGACTCGGAGGTGGTGGTAGGGTGGCTGAATAAAGACAACAGTGGGTTATGCAATTACAGAAATGAGAGGAGGAAATTTAGGTGGCTGGTTCAAGAGATGGAAGTCAAGATCAGTTGGGTGAAAAGATCAGCTAACTCTTTTGCTGATGGGTTAGATAAACAAGGGGTGGAGAGGGAGTCAATGTTTTGGGCCCAGGTGAAACTCATTTTCTTTTTTTTCCTTTCTTGGGGGCTCAAGCTTCAGTTGGAAGATAAGAAAGTTTATCTTCCTCTTTGTAATTATTTATGTGATTAATTAATGAAACGTGTTATTGATAAAAAAAATGATACCTTTTATGCCTGTGCATAAAGATTGATACATAAACATTGCCTTATACTTTAACATATGAAATAAACAAAGCATGAAAACATGGGTTTAGTAATGCTACTTGTTAAATAAGCATATATTCAAACTTTGGTGATTCATGTGGACTTAGACCACTAGTATTTTTTTTTTTTGGTAAACATAGTAATTTTGTTTAGAAGTTTTATCTTGTTCAGCTTATCTCATCTTGCTGTTGCTCCCACCCCCCCTCCCCTATTATTAAAAAAAACTCTAATATTTTCAACTTGACCAACATTTATGTTATCTAGTGCATTTAAATGTATAACTCCATTTATTAATAGATTTCAGAATTAATGATCAAGGAAAATATTATTTTTGGATCCAGGAAAGGTAAAAATGCCACTACATATTGCTGCTTAAAAAACTAACCAAACTAATCTGTAAGGTAACTGCATAAGTAGCATGCCACATCATATCCATTAGAGTTAATGTCTAAGGTGCTTGTCAATGTGATGCAATGCATCATTTACCTTATCACTTGATGCTAATGCTTACTGAAGATCCATTTACAAAAATCAATCATTGATTTACTCCTGATGGCTATTAATTTACAATGTCTTAAGTGGAGAAACACAAACAGTTTTGCATACCTTTGGTGAATTCCATCAAAGATTGGGGAGAGCCATCTAAAATTAAGATGAGATAGAAGCAAAGTTCAAAGTTCCATTTAAGGCTACACAAAATTTGTGTACTTTTTTCAGGGCCTTTGGAGAAATAGTGACTTCCTATCATCATTGGAGAATAGAAGTATGATTATCCACCTTTGATTTTCTCAGGTAGGAAGTGGAAGTGTAAATTTTGTATAAACCAACTTATTTCATGTTTGCTGGGATAAACCATTTGTGTTGTTGTCTAGAAATGGCCACATACCACCTAAACCAAGTTGAAAATGTTTAAGGTCATGGGCCCAAGGTTCTTTATTTCAAAAATATCCCATTCATATCAAGCTTTTAGAAAGAAAGACCTCCCCCCGCAAAAGAACTTGGTTGGAAAAGGCATTGAGTGTGTTGATTGAGGCTTCACATTTCAGATAGGTGCCATTTTCTGGGCTCCATGTTTTGTCTGCTAATAATAGATTTAGAGTGTAAATAACATACTCCCTAACTTAAGATGATGAACTGATCGTGAGAGAGGGGGGGCTCAAGATGAAGAATAGATGTCAATCATGGTGAGAGAGGGGGGGCTATAGAGATTTGTTTCAGGTAGAAAATGATAGACATTGGGGTCAAAACCATCATTTTCCACTTCCATCTAACAGAAGGTTGATTAAGTAAATCGGTTGCAAACAATAAAGGGTGTTTTAGTAAAACGCAAACTATAGGGTAGGTTTTAGTAAATCTGTGAAACTATAGGGGTGTTTTAGTAAATGGCCCAAAACAAAATCTGTCCATTTACTTGATAAAGAGAAAAAGAACCATAATGCATAAAAAATCATCACTGGTTACAATTTTATAGTTTGTTTTGGCATCTTACCAGAAAACTGAAAATGGAAAGATATCATTCTGTCTTACAAAAAGTGAAAGACTACTAGGCCTATTGTAACAATAGATATTAGGTAAGAGTAAAACTGGATGAGTACTCCAATGCAATTAAATTTCCTATCTTTATCAGATGAATGCCATTCTACTTATTTCCTTTCCTCTGAATCAAGAAAGACATGAACTAGAGCCCGAGACTGTAGTGCAATTTGTTACCATTATTCTTTGTACCTGTGAAGTCATACATTTAGCTGAAGAAGAAATCTAAAACACCACAAACACAGACACATAAGCAGAAGGTAGTACTCATTTAGGTATTAAGCATTTAGTGGTCTAACTTTCATGCTAGCCTTGGTTAATGTTTTAACGATCCAAAATAACAATAACAACAATTAAAGTTATGGACCAAAATAAAAGATTCAGATGAGATAATTTAACCCTTAAAAGATGTTATCTGTAAGAACAAAACACACTCAAATAACTCACTTTATGTGGTGGGGTGCTGCTAAATGTTGACTTTACATGCCGAAAATCTGTTCGTTTTGTCATATCCAACCTCACTGGCCATCTGCATTAAGTACAAATACAGGCTTCAGCTATAAACTGAGCTGTGTCCCATGGAGTTTTTTTCAATTTAGTGAGAAAAGGAAAAGAAAAATGATGCCCTTACTCTGTAGGTTCAGACATGGCATTGGAATACTTGCAAACATCTGAATCTTCTCTATGTGCATATATTGTACAGTAATGGACCCCACTTTTACAAAGTGCACCCTGCCATGGATATTGTAGCGGTTGCCCAGCATTTTCTGTATTGGAAGGTTCAACACTGGGTGGAAGTGGAGGAGGAGAGCTGGGTGGAGGTGGAACCAGAGGTGGCTGAGAGAGAGGCAAAGGAGGTGGAGATGGAGGTAATGGAGGTGGCATGTCAGGAGGGGGAGGTGGTGGTGGTGATAAAGGTGGTAATGTAGGCAACGCAACCATCTGGTCAAATTGCATGGAATTCCCTGATATTTGTGCAAGTGGAGTTACAGAAGCAGGCAAAAAAGGGGCTGGACCTGCATTAACATGAATGCTATTTGGCATAATGCCTGGTGAGATCTGGTTCAGAGGCAATGGATGATTCATACTCTGTTTCTCCCAGGAATTGTTTGGGGCAAGGTAAACAGGCCGCATAAACATAGATGTTTGAATTGGTGGTGGTGGTGGTGGTGGTACAATACCCTGTGTTGCTGCCGGTGGACATGGCATGCTCCCAGGTGCTGAAAACTGCAACTCAGTTTCAGGTTTCTTGTACATCCACAATTGTTCGCTGGCATTAGAAACAGCATGAACATCTGAAATATTACCAATAAAGTCCTTGAGTACACATTATTGCAACCATTTGTGGAGATGGGCAAACAGTTGCCTATATATATATTACAAAAAGAAAAATCATGGAAACAGGAAAGAGGGCTTCTAACGTGGCTATGGAGTCTCAGAAATGTGCACCTCTCAAAATAAAGAAACAAGTAGAGAGACACAAATAGAAGTTATCACATAAAAATATTAAATATATTAACTCAAACAATATTAATGATATGACTGATGTTCTGGAAAGCAGATTTAGTCATATAAATATTTTTTGGGCTTGGAAACCAGACATAATGTCAGGTTGACTTGAGAGTTAAATCCACACAACATAAAGAATTTGGTCAAAACTGCATTAGCTCTTGTTTCCTTTATTGGAAAACCGTATGAACAGGATGACTCAATATGTATTGCTTTGTTCAGTATAAAATTTAAAAAAAAAAAAAAAAGAGCAAAAACTACCAAAAGGAGCATTCTCATCCATGCACATGGTTTGGGAGTAAGAGTTTCATTTTGAGGAAAAAAATTAGAGATTGAAGCAGGAAAGGTAGGTTCTTTTAGCAAAATTTGTTTTCTATTTTCTATTTTTTCTGTTTCTGTTTTTCATTTATTTTTTAGTAGAGAGTGGGGATTCAAATTACAGAGAGGGGATGAGAAATAATACTATTTAGAACTAATAAATGTATAGAACTATTAGCACTTAAGTGCACTGATGATCCACCACTCTGGACTGGAATAACCCAACAGGTAAACAAGGTGAACTTGAACCAGCCATCCCTGCTGTACTCCCCTTCCGTTCAGTTTTAACAGCATAGCACATGGAATGCTTCTGTATATCACCCTAACAGAGAAAGAAAAGCTTGTATGGTCCTCATTGAGCAACAAATATCAATGTGTAATATCCATGAACACTGGTATTGAAGAGCATATGGTTAATACATATTGTAGGCACACATTGAAACATTTGGACACAACTAAAGGAAATAAAGGTACACGTGGAAACACTAAACTATTACCAAAAAAAAAAAAGAAACACTAAAGAAAATCATGTAAATCAGCATAAATAACTACTTATGAGGTTTAATAACAGAAAATATATCTATTTTAGCTAGCTATAAGAATTAACATGAATTCACTAAACAGTAAGTGAAGATGAAATTTTTATTTATATTAAACAACATAATTTATAAATGCTCAACTCAACAACACTAATCCTAACTATTTGAGATTGGCTTCATGAATTTTTTTCTTCATTCCACTCACATCAATTATGCAGAATGCCTTAATATCAATAAATTGAAAACCAATGCATCTAAAAATAGTATGTATACATCCCTATTATGTTTTCATTATTTTATGGTACAAAAGTACATATTTATTATCATATAATCCAATAACCAAAAAGAGAGAATAATATTCTACCCTTCAGTTTTTAGGAGTCAATGACCTCCTGTTTCTGGAATGTTAAGTAATATCTAAGTGATTTTAATGATTATATGACACATAATGATATGGTTAAGATGCACTGATGTGCATTTGTGAGCTATCCTGTAGTGTTATTGCATCCTAAATATTCACGTACATCCAAGAGCTTTTACTAGCCACATTACCTGGATATGGAAAGGATACAACTGGATACAGTATCAGATACGAAAGTTCACACTAAAAACTGAACAAGATATGGCATCCTTGTACACATATCCAGGTACCATAGTTTCCCAGCAATTGATGGTACAACCATCCTGTTGGAGAGTATTGGCAATATAGTCAGGTAACAGTGGCTCAACAACAAGCAGACTTCTGTAAGTGACCACACTAAAAACTGAACAAGATATGGCATCCTTGTACACATATCCAGGTACCATAGTTTCCCAGCAATTGATGGTACAACCATCCTGTTGGTGAGTATTGGCAATATAGTCAGGTAACAGTGGCTCAACAACAAGCAGACTTCTGTAAGTGACCACCTCCTTGTGGATTGGTAGGTTCTGGTTGTCATGGAGTTCAGATGCCCACTCCCCGCCCTGGTGGGGTGGATGTAATGAATATTTTAATGTGTAGGACTTATATGGAATTGTCACAGTTATAATACATCATCAAAGTTAAAAGTAACTAGGAACTTACAATTTTGCACGCTGGACAAAGCATTCAACTATTGAATGGTTCAAACAGGTCAACGTTTAATATTGCAGTTTCACAGTTTTTTGACTGGTCAATAATTAAACCCCTTTTGTTTTTCTTGAGTAAGGGTAAAATATTTATTGATTAAGGTCAAGGTTTAATGAAACTGGATTCTCAAAAAGTTGACATTCAAATTGTTGAACCCTCTTTTCTGAAATGGGTTTTATAACAATAGTTGGCAATATATAGGCAGTTGCTTCCATAATGTTTTGAAAATCATAATGTCATTATAAATCGCAGAGAAGGTTGAATTCAATCAAAACATGAATAGTATCATAAATTGTAAAATTATTTCTACTTTTAGAAATTTGTCAAAAAATTAAAATTATAATAAAAAACTAAAATTTATATAGAAATCAAATTCAATCCTGTTGTTAATCCATATACAATGTACAAGCTTAATACAACAGACTTTACCACTTGTCTAGAAAAATAAGATGATATAATCAAGTTTGACTTGAAAGTCAATTAACAACATAAAATGTTTCTACACTGAAAACCAATATTTCTAAAGAAGTCCTGATAACCTTAAAAAAATCTTGTGCTAGTAAGGATTTTTAAACAGTAATTCTAAGTTTTTTTTTTTTCAAGAAAAGGATTCCGATGTAAGACTTGAATCAAAAACCTTGAGGTTCATTATTTGGATCATGAATTGTAAGATTTTGGCAACTTGTCCAAAGCTTATGGTGAAGAATTGACTTTTTCAGTTTCCCACTGAAATATTACCTGCTTGTGAATGATCCACTGTCATGCCACTATCGTAACCATCTAGGTTGTCAACTTTTCTCACCCCAACCTCTAGCATCTCTGCACAGCCAGGTATGGTCCAGTTTGTCTGAAATGCATGCCCACCTTGCACAGAAGCTCCACGGCTTTCTAGTTTTATTCTTGGGGATACAAGTTCATGAGTTTTGTTACCAGATTTAACTGTAAAGGGCGTATTATGGTGCTCCCCTGGTTGGCTGTTCATTCAAAGCGGAAAGAGAAGCCTTCATAAGATGAAATCCTAAAACATTTTACTGGCAAAAACTCTGATATTCATGAGATTGTAACAGGATACAACGCTTCTAAGAAATAAAGACACAATCAGGTATTTAAAAATGAAACCTCTAACACCCAATTGTCAGATAATAAAATGAAGTAAATAATCAATGACATTAACATTAGAAAGTTGCTGCTAGTTTTGTATGAACACCCCACCTTTGGATGGGACTTGCAAGATGATTCATGTCTGACTTTCCAAATACGTGTCTGACTCAGCTACAGTATGAATATGGTGGATTTACCAAAATGTCACTGCATAACTCTCCAAATTTATGAAATCCCACTCTAAATGCTTCTGTGTAAATGTATATGTCTGTGGACAAGCTTTTAAAAACAATCTCTAGTGTCTCATGTCCAAAGGCTAATAAATGTAAACAGTATATTTTTCTTTGGACAGATCAAAAGAAAAGCAAAAAAAAAAGGCAACTGAAGTTTGATTGTCTCTGTCTTATTCTTATTTTATTAATGAATAAGATAATGATAATTTAATTGTCTATGGACAAGTACCTTAGAAACAAGATGTCATAAATAGGTAGGACGAAACCAGAATATTGCAAGTTTGATTAAAAAATAATGTGACCTTTTCTAGTACCTTGGTCCAATAATTCATAGCAAGGGAGAGATTGAGGTGGATGTCACCCATAGAATTAGAGCAGGATGGGCAAAAAGGAAGGGTACATCTGGAGTCTTATTTGATAAGCGAATACAACTTAGATTAAAAGGAAATTTTATAAAATAGTTGTAAGGCCAGTTCTGCTATATGGAGCAAAGTTTTGAGCAGTCAAGAAACAATATGTACCAAAAAAAATGTGTGGAAGAAATGCATATGCTGAGATGGATGAGTGGAAAACTAGAAAGGATAGGGTCAAAAATGAAGTCATTTGGAGGAACCTAGGAGAAGCTCCAATAGGTAACAAAATGAGAGAAGGTGGGCTAAGATGGTAGTCACATACATAGAAAACCACCTACAACACCCATAGGAAGAAGCAATCTGTTAAAATTTGAAGGGGTAAGCCTGAGACCTACTAAGAGGGTGGAACGTTATTGCAGGTTTTAATAACAAGATGCTTCGAAGGGTGATGGAATGGACTCCACCCGGGGATGGAAGCTGCAAACTTTAATGGGTGCTCTTTCGGAAATCCTGGGAATTCTGGAGTGGGAGGAGTGGTTAGGGATTCTGATGGCAATGTAATTCTCAGTTATTCAGGGCCAGCTGGGTTTGGAAACTCTCTAAGGACAGAACTGTTGGCTTTAATTCAAGGCCTTAAACTGATAGGCCCGCAAGGGTTATTGAATATAGTGGTTAAGAGGGACTGTCAAACAGTCATTTGTGGGTGAATTCTCAGGAACAAATGCCTTGGCAGTTTTAGACAGTTGGTGAGATTGGCTCACTCCTTAGGTACCAGCTTGAACATCTCATTCATCTGGATACCCAGGAGTGCAAATATGTTAGCTGATTCCATGGCAAGATTGGGGGTAGGAAAAGACAGTTTGGATTGGGGTTACCCAGGCCCAGCCTTCCTTGGCCTGTGCTGAGGATCTGTTGTAAGTTTGCCCACCTGCTATGGTTCTGAGCAGTGTGGTTTCTTTTCTTATTTAATGAAATTCACCCTGTTGCTTACCAAAAAAAAAAAGTTTAAGGGGCTAAAAGGGCTAGGGGCAGACCAAAAAGTACATGGGTCAAAGTAGTAAGAAATGATTTAAGCACTCACAATTGACAATGGGTATGGCATTCAACAGAACAGAATGGTGAAACAGGATTCATGTAGCCAACCCATGTAATTGAGAATAAGGCTTAGATGATGATGATGATGATTTAATAAAAAATTCTTTTTCCAGCAGCAATAATGATGGCAAATAGTATACTCTGAGACAGGATGAGCTCCCCACAGAGCATGCCCCACATGCGCCCCACAGCCCATCCCCTCTGTGAATTGGGAGCATCTCCCCATTACAAGAATGGGAGATGATCCCAATGCATGGAAGGGATGGGCTGTGGGGCGTGCTCTGTTGGCAGTCCATCTGAACTCGTATTCTCTGACTATTGTCATAATCAATTCCATATTTTGAGGACCTAGACACATTATTTAGTGGCAGGACCATTTAAGTCATTCAAGAGGGGACTCTAACATGGAACTACCCAAGTCCCTTTGAGATTTTTGTTAATGGCAGGCTTTTGAAAGGACAAAACTCCAAAAAGAAAAATAACAAGAACAATCGCAGGATCATAAAGGAAACTTGCAATTCAATTAGAATGAGAAAGAGTCAGTAACAGAATGGTGATTGCCAACCTGAAATGAGCCTGAAAAAACATCCCAGGACAATTCCTAAGATTTTTCAAAGCTGCAATAGCTGCATCTATACTGCTGAATTCAACTAAAAAACAAGAACCCATCTGCATATTTGCTTGTGTCAGTCTGACAACAGAACCGACATTTCCAACTGCAAGATTGCAAATAGTCGTTAGTTCATCATCTGTGACAAATGACGAGCCAGTATCTGGTTGTCCAATCCAGAGAGTGTTTGTTGGCACTCTATCTTCATCCCTAATGTTAAGTGAGTGATGATTCCTAAATGTATGGCTCTCAAAAGAACTTGAACTCTGACCAATATTGTATTTTGTACATAAAGACGAAAGCAAGGAAGATAACTGAGACATCCTTGTCTTACAACTGTCAACAGGACTATCAAGAACAGATGTAACACAAGGTGAGCCACTCATGCTAACAGCCATGCTTCCAAGGTTAGTGTTTCTAAAATCAGCACGAATGGGGGTCGGACCAAATCTTGCACCTTCCATATGAGACCTTGCAACATCATCTGAACCTGCATTTAATGTCAAGGTTCTAGTCAGCTGTAGATTGTACTCATTTTCTTTGCGATGTTGCCTAAGATGTACCATCACGGTTGTAGCTTCTTCGGCAGTCTCAAATTCCATCAGCAAGGCACTTTCACTAGAAAGATCAATGACCATGCGAGGGCTCTTGAAACCCACTTTTCTTAACTCATGAAGAATCTCATCTTTGGCCCATTGGCTTGAGACCTTGCCAATATAAACATGGCAACTAGCACCAACTGCAACACCACTAATAGCTCCTCTACTTCCCAATCCAATATCTAGAAACTTTATGCGAAGGCAGGCACCCCAAGGGGAAGATCCTCGCATATGCTCATGAGCTTTTATAGCATCCATAATATTTCTGAACTCAACCAAAGCAAATCCTTTAGCAGGAAAAAAGAAAAAGTTTTCTATAGGACCAAATTTCTCAATCTGAAACCTAACTAGAGTTTCTGATGCTTCAGGGCCAAGACAACCCAACCAAAGATGTTGAGAAGCCGAATATATGTCCATGGCTGCAGGATCACCATCAGAGTACCAAACAGTCTGACCAGTTGAAGGATATCTTAGGGGAAATTGTTGTTTGGAAGATGACAAAACAGTAATGCCAACTCCACTCGTGGATTTCATGGCAGACAAGCCAAGGTCCATGTTTGAAACTTGATTTTTCTCAAAATGAGCAAGATGGCCTCCACCTTCAAATGCATCTTTTGTGAACTCCAATGGCTTTCTGGTTGCAGGTGAAAGCAACTGGCTTTTCACCAGGTCCTTCCGTACGGAAGTCCTATCATAGTGCGAGTCTCCACGCTCTCCAGTCTCCAAGTCCTTTGTAGACCCTGGCTCTCCACATTTATGATTTGAACTCTCACTCACAGGCCCATGTGGAACTACTGGGCCACAGGGTTTTCCAGATCGCCCTGAAACTTTGTCAGCTGATTCCCGGTCCTCATAAAATGCATCACCAACAGATAAATCATAAATTCTAGAATTGGAGCCCTTCCTTGATATTTCACCAGGGTTATCGTGTTGACTAGTGATCCTAGGCATCAAATACTGTCGACTGATGTATTTTGATGGATCAGAACTATCCTCATCACTATCCTCCTGGCTTTCTGCTTTCTCCACAAGTTCTATGAAAGATTCAAAGACTCTCCCTAGAGCTGATGAAATCTCTGATACAGCCTCAGAACCTACCGATTTACATAACTTCTTATACCTAGAGAATATCCAAGCTTTCAAAGGTTGATCTTTTCTGATAACCTGCATAAAATAGACAAGAAACAGTTTTCACCAGGAAATATTAAAGACTACAAGTCATACATAATACATATGCACATATAAATACATATATTATGGCCTTTTGCACCTGTATTTCTAAATCCTAGGAAATTTGAATTTGCTCCCATGTTTTACATATGTTGAATTTATACCATATCCTATTGCGCTATTTGTGTTCATGGCTTTTATGTAAGGGGAAAAATCTATTATCAAAACCTTGACCATATTATTTTATTGTAACTGAAGACAAATTAACCTAATAATACAGAATGATAATATAAAATTTGAAAATACAGGTTAAAAATAGTATCACACTACTTGTTGCAGAAAACAGAAAGGTTTATTTTGACAGCACGAGTGTTGATCCTTTTTGTAGAGAATAGATTTATACATAATAGAAAAATATTACTTAATTACCAAATATAGAAATAAATAGAGAAAGCATTGCCATGCAGATATGCAAAGATCATAAAATCACAAGCTGTAATGCTTAAAACTATATGGATAGTACAAACTACAGAGTAATGAAATTATGTTCCAAACATTTAGAGAATGTATTTTTTTTAACAAAAGAAGTGAAATGATTCAAAGCGTGGAATTTCATAAAATGCTTAAAAATAGTTCTTCATTAGCACATGATGTGCCTCTAATGAAGAAATGTAACATACACAATGAACGAACAACAGGATTCATCACTACATGCAACATCAAAGTTGTACTATGATCTTTGTGAGTTTCATGCTCTTCGAGAAAGACATTGACCACTACCAAGGAGGATATTGACAGTTGTCAAGGCAGAACCTAGGTGACAAGGCGCCACGGAAGCTCACCTTGCCTAATCGCCAAGCAGTTTTGTACATTGTGTTATAAAATATTTTTATATTCTTAATTATTTGAGATTATAATTATAAAATAGACATTTTTGATAAATTATAAAATAGACATTATTAAACTAAAATATTAATTTTGTGTGTTTATATACTAATTTCTTTTTATTATTTTCATATTTGTTAGGGTTTAATCAACACAGACATTGCTAAATGCTGTATTGAACCCTCAAAGACTTCAAAACCTGAACCAATAAGGAAGAACTTAAAATTTTGTCTAATCAACACATCTTCTTTTCTTTCTTCTTTTTCTAAAACAAAAAAGGGGTTCAGCCCCTATACTTTTTGAATTTTCTTTTCTTTCTTCTTTATCTTCTCACAAATATGTTGTTTTTCTCAACTTTAACATGAAGTTTATGCTTCTCTTGTGAAAATTGTGGATAATTATTAAGGAAATATGGTTATGGAACCTAGGAAACTACCCTAGGATATATATTTTTTTCTTAAAAAAAATCCACCACCTCCTTTTTGGAAGGAAGAAAAGTAAACTCCCAACACGATACGACACCCTTGTACAGGTATCCAGGTATCATAGATGTGCATCCATATTTGTCTTGCATCTGTAGACACCTCCTGGCTGGGGGAACAATGGACCCTGTCACTGGTCATTCCCATAAACGTATTTAGGAGAAGCTCTACCGCCATATATTGTACCATCCGTTGGTTATGTTTTTTAAACTAAATCGTATTCTAAGTTGGAAGCTTTTAAAATTAAATTGCACACTCACTATGACTACAACGTCTTTTTTTTTTTGATAAATGAGAGTAATTTTATTAATCAAAGAAAGAGTGTACAGTCAGCCTAGGAGGAGGTACGAGGTATTCCCCCGACCCCCCAGAGCTGAGCATTAAGCAAATAAACACACATTAGCCTGAATTACAATTACAAGGTAGCCCAAAACAGGTCTCCCCTTGATACCCCTTGTTTAGCCAGAGAATCAGCCATTGCATTTGCCGATCTGCTAACCCACTGAACCTTGACTGTCATATTTCTTGTCAGCCAGTTAGCTTTCTTTTACAGATCCCTGTAACCCTAACAAACTGTTTCTGGATTTGTCAGCCAGCCCACTACTACCTTGGAGTATCAAGTTTTCCACTCCAAGTTGATTGGCCATCTGTATGCCTTGTACCACTGCTAGTATCTCAGCCCTTGTGGAATCACCAACACCCGCTGGTCCTGAAAATAAAGACAGGATGTTGTTGTCTTTATCTCTCAGAATCCCTCCTATGCCCGATGGCCCTGAGTTACCTTGACAGCTTCTGTCAAAATTCAATTTTACCATACCTTCTAGTGGGGGTTTCCAGTTTGCTTGTGGTTTGTTCTTTGTGGAGACTATGACTACAACATCTTTTGCTGCCTTTTAATAACATTGTACAACACAACCTCTTCTTTTTTCATCAACTTTTCTTAGAATCAACCATTAATTAGAAGCCCTTGCAGAAGAAAGATATATAAACCACTAAACCAAATTAATTGAAATTTTAAAGAAGTGCAATTACAGACAAAGAAACCGGAATCTTAAACCATGAAATATGATCTTCAAGCCTAAACTTTTGGCATGATTTTTGTTATCTTTATCCCAATAAATGAATTCAATTTCATAGAAAAATGGTAGAAATTTTAACTTGAATTTTGCATAAAAAAAAAAGTAGATACTTTTCCTGTCAGTATAAGCAGAGAGCCAGAGATATTTTAAGCTTTGGTAAGAAAACCCAGGAATCTAGGATAATAAAAAGGGAGAAAACCATAATCTTTATTATGTTATCCTATTAAAAAACTGAATTCTAAGTTTAACAAAATTTGCAATTTTTAAAATTATAATAAACAGTTAAACCAATGAATATAATACTGCAAGTCCTTGACAATGACATATAATTGATAACTTACTAGTCTATTACTAACCAAAAAAACAAAAAATTGTTTACTAGTCTATTGGTTAAAAGCTTTCCAATTGAATGGACAATCTTGACTGAAGAAGTAAGGGACTTAAAATATTTATTATTAATCACTCACCATAAAATACAATTCTTTTATTGCCACCTCATCCATTAAGGGCTATCTGATGGGGCCAAAATTATTTTTACAAGGTGAAGGCTGTAACAAAATAAAAATTTTAATATTAAAAACATTTTATGTATGTATAGTAGCCTTAAAGAGTTTGTAATTCTGTCCATAAAATTTATTGTTTACACAGAACAGTGTGATAGCACCCAAAATCAAGGCTTTCCATCCATCTAAGAATTTAAATAAATGATCTAGTATTACCAGTCCCATCAAGCAGTTTTTTGAAACAATAGATGCATTCTCCAACATGTGGTTGTCATCTGATTTTAGCCCCTCGCTACTAACCGCGGTACCTTCAGTATTTGTCTGGACAGAAACAGTACATGGCTGATCATCATTGATCTGGTCCGAAGGACGAGTTACATCATCAACACCAAACTGGTTTGTCACCTGCCTTAGAAAGTAATGTCCTTTACAAACTCCATCCGTTGCACCAGAAATGAAGAGCTCAAAACAAGCTGCAAGTAAATTCTTGGGACAAAGGAAGAAAATCCTGAGCAGACTTAGGGCCCGGAACTTGAATAATTTAGATACTTCAGTTTCATCTTCATCTGCAATTTTCTGCTTTATCTCACAAAAAGAATCCTTGGAATCTTGTATTTTTTCAATTTCCCTATCACCAATCTGATATATATCCTTGCCCTCAAATGAGGATACAAAGAAAGTAAGGACATTCAGAAAAACTGCAGAGCAAATGCCTCGAATAACAGATGATGTCGGTGCCTCTGATGCAGCAGTACAGCAGATTTCTACTAAACCAAAACTACAGGCTTTAGCTGTCTGAAATGCAACACCATCAGTGTCATCCCCTCTGATTATCACAGCTAGGCTCCAATTGTACATATTGACTGCAACCTTAGCAGCAGCTTCAAGAGCAGTTGGGCAATATGAAGCATATCGAGGAATGAGTTCAGCTACAATACGCTGTGCACTTGTACAACCTGTGTTTTCACCATGTAACATAGAAAAATTTTACGTAATAAGCAACTTTGTGGAATATCATTGGAGTAAGGCACATGATCTTAGAATAACTAGTATAGCCACTGACAATAGTCCACCTGTTCAAGGTAGCACCCAAATGTTGTACATGTAAATGGCACCCTTAAGGTCTTGGAACACCCCATTCAGATAAATGTGGTACACCCTCTAACTAAAAGTTAAAAAATAACTATTCTGAAAAGACAATAAGACCTTTTATGCCTTTTCCCTGGAGATGCCCCCTATCCATCAAAAATGGCCTACACCCAAACTATCACTCTTTTTTAATATCTTCACTATTGCTCTTAAGAAAAATGAAAATAAAAGGCATTTTTTCTCTTATTTGTTGTGCTTTTCTCTTTATTTAATACTCCCATCCTCCTAAGATGGGCCTTTTGGGGAAAAAACTAGTGCACTGCTTTATTGATAATTTTTTCAGTTATTTTTCTTTTTGCATTTGGATTTGGTTCTCCTAGTTGCATCAGAAGCCGGTTTTCTCAATCACACTAGGTGTTTGTTTTCCTAATTAGTTTAGGAGTTATGTTAGCAAGTCAGGTTTATATTTGTAGGTCAGATTCACATTAATAAAGTATTATATTTTCCCACAACTGCTGGAGTGATACTAACACATTAAAGGTGCTAATTCCTTCAAACTCTTGGTACTGAAGAAGAAGAAGAAGAAATCTTCCACATATCTCGCATCAATTGGGCTAAAGCTTTGGATCTTTTTTTTATCAATAACAGGAAACCATTATATTAATAATGAATTTAATTACAGCAATTCATAGAGAGATAAAAAGGCTTAACTCTCTCTGAGAGGACAACAAAGAAAAAACTTACAACAGCCCAGAACATTTGATCCCCGATTCCCTTCCCACCCCCTGCTTTGCCAAAGCATCTGCAAATGCATTTGCTGTTCTCTTAACCCACTGAAACTGGATTTCCAGCCCCCTAGTTAACCATTTAGTCTCCCTCCTCTCATTAGCAAATTTCTACAGCCACTTTCCTTTTGTAACCAGCTTAACACCAGCTTTGAGTCCCCTTCAACGACTAACTTTTGTAAATTCAGTTCCTTAGTCTTCCTTATACCCTCCAGTACAGCATAGACCTCAGCTTTAAGAGAGTCCCCAACCCCAATGGGACCTGAATGCATTGCAAGCACCTTTCCATCCTCATCTCTAAAAACGCCTCCTACACCTGACGGACCTGGATTGCCCTCACTACTACCATCAAAATTTAACTTTATAAAGCCACAGCCTGGTGGTGACCACATAGGACAAACAAAAGAGAGAACTAGAGCCAAATTAGCCACCACCTACCAGCTATTCAGCAACATATCCGTAGAAATATCATCAAACATGTCCAAGGATTTTAGCCAATGCACCACCCTAACTGTTATTACTTCAATAAGAGTTTCTTTACTTATTTCATTCTCATAAAAGGTTCTGGCGTTCCTTTCCTTCCATAGAGTCCAACAAATAGCATCCCGCACACACCTCCACATCATCCTTCCCCTTTCTTGGGCCATTGAAGGAACAAAGAGCTAAACAAGCTTTGAATATTTGGCGGTGGGGTCCACCTGCAACAAAAATAAGGAAATGAACTAGTCCCAAATAATAGTAGAAAAGGGGCAAGAAATTAACAGGTGGTAGGAGATTTCACCATTACACCTTTCCAGGAAGGCTTCCCAACAAAAGGCTCCAATCCTTGGAGGAATCGGCTCACCCCAAATATCCTTTACTGGAAATTTTTGTGCAAAATTATTGGTTGAAGGCAAGAGGGACTTAAAGAAGGAAGCACAAGAAAAGGTCCCAGAGGGAGTTAGGGTCCACAGTCTCTTATCCCTCTCAAAGGGATCCAACACCACCCCATTTAAGATCTAAACCAGATTCATAATATTTTCAACCTCTACATCCCTTAAGCCTCTTCTAAACCCCACATTCCAATCAAATCCAAAGTTAGACTGAGAAGGAACAAAAAAACTAGACACAACCTTGCCTTTATACCGGGAAAGGGAAAACAAGGAAATTGGTCTTTCAAAGGTACCTCACCCACCCAAATGTGCTCCCAAAATTTTACCTAGTTCCCAAAGCAGAGGTCATACCTGATGTGCGGCAAAAAAGAAAGAAGAATTACATGATAGATTTCCAAGGAGAAGCTTCAATACACCTTGCCAAAGTTCTAGAGTCCCAACCATCATCTACCTGACCATAAAGCTTTGGATCTTTTCTCACAATTCTCCTTTGTCAACCTTTGAGAAACTAGCAATTGGTTGCTAAATCTTCTTTGGTTAAGGACAAGCCTATAGTAGCTTGGAAGCCCCCTAAAGAAGGCTTTATCGAGCTAAACTTTGATGGCAAAAGCCTCGGTAATCATGGGCCTTCTAATACTAGAGGAGTTTTTAGAAAAACAGAGGATCAAATTGTTGCCTATTTTCTGGTCCAATTGGAATGGGGAATGTTATTGGTGCAGGGGTTCAAGCAGTCCTATAGGGAGCACAGATTTCTAGAGAGCTGAACTTTGGGAGTTTGCTAATTGAAGCTGATTCTAAACTTGTAGTTGAGTGGCTGAAGGAGCTGGAGACTATAGCTTGGTCCTTTAGGGGGTGATGAGAAGATCCAAATGGCTAACTTCCAACATAATAGTGAGAGTTCAGTGGGAGAGGAGATCGACTAATGTGCTGGCAGACCTAGCTAAGCAAGGGGTGCATAGGGGTCATTTATTTTGGGCTCAACTGTAATCTTGGTTTGTTTTTGAGGCTGCAACTCATGCCTCTCTGGACTTTTTATGTTGTATCCTTTGATAGGTCTTATTTGATCTTTAATAAAATACTTCTTATTACTTATCAAAAAAAAAAATCTCACATCAATCAGGATGCAATATGTCATACAAAGCCATAAAATGAGATGGGCATTTCTCTACTAAATCATGAATTGCCTAGTGACATAGTGATTACAAATTGCCTCTGTAGAGGCTTATACAAAATCTTCACTAGAAGACCCTAACACCCAGAATGGATGTCCATAGCCTTTCTAATAACACTAGAATCAGGCCAAATGGATAAATTTTTTCAGCACCCTGATTTAAGCCACAAATAATGGCTGAAAGACAGTCCTCTTTCTTATTTTTCACATTAAGGTTCATGCATTTGGCTTACAACTTTAAACAGTAGCTGCTTTACACCCCCCATCAAACTATCAGAAGAACCCATTGTTGACCATGACAATTGAACCAATCGAACAGTGACCCAACAGCTAAAAGGGTTCCCGGTTCATTTCACTGGGTAAACCATCTAGTTGAACTATCAAATTCACCATCCGGGTAGCTTTTCAGGTTGACACCTGGATGATCTAAGTAAGAAGATATTGGGGTTTATGTCGAAGTATAACTATGTTGAAAATGATGATACTTTAACGGTTTAACCTACCCTAAACCCCCAACCCCAAGACTTAAAGATGTTGATGCTGAACATCAATCTTGATTTAAATAGGGTCAAGCTCCATTGAGTTCAGTTGGTTACCACAGGATGCATATGTATATGCATGTATGCATATTTAAACCTTTAATCTTAAAATTAAAAAAAAAAAAAAAAAAACAGTCAATGAGACAAATTCAAAAACCTTTTAACTAGGCAACCACTTGCTTCGTTTTTATTGTTCCACATTTTTAATATGAACATAAAACAAATAAAAGAGTCACAATTGGATTGGGTGGGAGTTCCACAAACCACGGCAATTGATTTAAGATAAATTGTAGTTTTACAACCTAAACTATAGAAACTTAGCCCAATACAAGTTGGATTGATCAGGTTCCAGATAGCCCAGGAAAAAACCTACTTTTGCAACATAAAGCCCTGAAACCTACAGACACAACTATAATTAGAAGTGCGAATTTTGCTAGAATAAAAGAGAGGCCAAACCAGAAACGTAAAAGGGATCTATACGCACAACTTTAGAAAGCAAGTTGCATGCAGGGAAAGGCTTTATTGACATTTATTTCTACTCTGCGTTTTGCTTCTTGCATGGTTTCCTGCCGTAGTACAGTCTTCTTTCTTCTGCTACAGTTATGCTTTACATTTTAAGCTTTACATTCATATATTTTGAAGCAGAATGGAGAATAATCTGGAAAGAATTCAATATTTTAACTACCCGTGGAGATCAAACTCAGAAAAGCTACGCTGAAAATATATAAATATATATATATATATATCAAAAATGATGGAAAATGTAGAAGGGGAAGATAATTGTAGTAACCTCTAGAAGCAGTGATCAGTGAGAGATAAGCCTGTTCGAAGTCGGGCATGAGATGAGCATCCTTCTGAGAGATACAAAACCTAATTCTCCGGTAGCAGTCGTAGACGTTTCTAATTTCTTCTCTGTTTCTTCGCTTTCTCATGATTTCTTCATGGGATGGAGGGGAGGCGAAGACTTGCTGAGGTTCAGAGGCGGGTTCGTATAGCTTTCGCTTCTTCAGGGGTTGCTCGGTGGAAGCCATCGCGACGTGAGCTCGTGAAGTCGCTCACACGCTGTGCGCGCTTTGGATGAAATCAAAGATCCCGATCGGTCATAAAATTACGAACTTACCCTCACATGGGAATGTAGTCCGTGTTAGGCGACTCCGGATCTCCTACCTACGAGAACTATGTCCACGCTTACCCACATAACATCGCAGCCACATATCTCATGTGTTGTGGGTAGACGTGGGCAGAGTCATTAGGCGACAGGAGACCCTAAAAAGTAAAAATGACTCTGGATCCCTACCCACAAGAACTCTGCCCACATCTACTCATAGGCCATAACACACTACCTTCATGAATTTAGAGCCATTATGGATTACGTGCCTATAAGAATTCTGCCCATGTCTACCCACAAAACACTATCCCTGTACATTGAGAATATCTCTCCCTGCACGATACTATGTAAGAGGATGAGATGTTTTCCATGTGTGGTGGTGATGATATGTAGGTAGATGTGGGCAAAGTTTGTGTGAGCAGGAGATGTTTGGGAACATCTCCGATGCATAATATTATGTAAGAGGATGAGATGTTCTCCATGTGTGGTTGCAATGTTATATGGGTAGATGTGAGCAGAGTTCTTGTGAACAGGAGATCCAAATTCAAAACGGGAACATCTTCCCATAAACTTTAAGGCCGCAACGTTGGGAAGTGAAAACGTGACAAACATCTCCTAAGAGAATTCGAAGGCACCCCACAAGCGTTGGGAAATGTTCCTAATACACGGTTGGGATGTGTTGTGGGGCGCTCTACGAGGCACCAATGTAAACTCACGGTGGAATGCTTTGTGCGCAGATGTGGGGCACCCCACACGCCCGTAGTGCGCCATCTGTCACTTCATACAGTGTTTGCTTGTCCCGCGTGCAGGGCTAACGGGTCACTCGAGCTCAACTTTTCCACACATTTCTTATTTTTTTCTTTTTTTTTTATGATATTTTGGTTTTTCAGAAATCAGAGAAACCGACAGCAACAATGCTTTGTCCTCTGGATCCGACGATCTACAACGACAACCGGTAATCATCCGGAGGCACTCTCCAGCTCTCATATTTGAACTTTTTTCACACATTTTTTATTTATTTTTCTTTTTTTTTGGGGTTTCTAGCATATAAGGGCAACGTTTAATATTATATATTTAAAAATTTTAAAAAATAGGTTAACTTATTAAAAATAATATAGGGGCAAAAACACTTCTTATTCTTGCCATTTGTTCAGCAGAGCCGCTGCTCGCCACCACCCACCTCCGCCTCCGGCAACGTTGTCGGAGGTGGCCGGAGGCAAAGGTGGCGGCGGCAGCGCTGGTGGTTTCTCTGTCCAACGCCGCGACCTTTGCCTCTGCCTCCGGCAACGTTGCCAGAGATGGGTGGAGACAAAGGTGGCGTCAGCGGCGAGCAGAGGAATAACCACCAGTGCCGCCACTGCCTCCGACAACGTTGCCGGAGGCGGAGGCGGAGGTTGGCGGAGGCGACGGCGGACGGTGATGGCGGGCGGCAGCTCTGATGAACAAATGGCAAGAAGAAGAAGATAAATAATGTTTTTGCCCTTTATTGATATTATTTTATTTCTATGTTTTGATTTTTCAGAAATCAGAGAAACCGGCGGCAACAGTGCATACAAGACATGGAAGACCACGATTCATGGTTTTATCCACCTGTTAGTTGTCGAAATAGATGAACCTAGGTTGAGAAAGAAGAAAGACGTACGATCGAATTTTTATGGAAATATACAATAGTCACGATGAGAAGGCCTATTTATTTATTTTTGGTAGGCGGTGTTCTATACAAAATTGAGGATTAAAACACCAGAGGAAGCTTTGTGTAGCCACGTACGTAGGTATCAAAATCKATCCAGTGAAAAAAATCAGAAGAGCTTGCTTGCAAACTCTCTTGATGAAGATGCCGACGACGCAGCGAGATCTCTAAGCTCTGAAATGCTCATACCAAGTTGTAAAGCCACCTTCATTTCAAATAACTCTCCATTCTCTCTTCTCCCCGCTTTCCCTTGAGAGTGGACTTTATGTACTCTTCCATGAGTTTAAAGAAGCCAGCAGAGCTCCGATACATCTCAAACACCATTCCTACTTGCCCACCATGCTCCAAGGTATTCACCACGCTTGCCATAACTCCAGCAACCACACCCAAAAACACAGCCCAAGATCCATGCAACGGCGATCCCATTCCCACCAAAGCAGACCCAACGGCAGCCAAGCCAGTGAGTAAAGGACCAGTAATTGCTAAGATCTTGCTAACTTTCAAAGCTAATTTGCTCAACCTCACATACTCTTGGATATCTTTCATCTTGAGCAGCTCTACAATCTGCTTCATTTCCTCTTCCAGCTTCCCACTCCAGCCGTTCTTCTCGGCTCTCCGATGACTGCAGCGTTTCTGCTGTTGCGGCCACCACACAGCATGCTCTACAGCTGCAGGGAACTTGTCGAGCATTGTTCCAATCAGGGGAAGGGGGTAGGCCTTGTCAAGCGCCAATACCTTCTCCATGGCATCCTTGACATCCATAGCAGTAGGATTGCCAAGGGCTAGGGTTGTTCGGATCTGCCCATTAAGCTGCTTGAACAGCCTAGCAACGTTACGTTGTTCCTCGGCTAGTTGAGATGGCTGGATCTTGTTAATCACCAGCAGCATCCCAGTGGCTGCCGAATACAAAAGAGTGGATGAGAGCTTGAGCGCAACAAGTGGTGCTCCACTCCTCCACATGTTGCTGCAAGTTGCCGCCGGTTTCTCTGATTTCTGAAAAACCAAAACATCATAAAAAAAAAAAGAGAAAATAAGAAATGTGTGAAAAAAGTTCAAATATGAGAGCTGAAGAGTACCTACACATGATCGCCGGTTGTCGTTGTAGATTGCCTGATCCGGAGGACAAAGCACTGTTACCGCCGATTTCTCTGATTTCTGAAAAACCAAAATATCAACAAAAAAGAAAGAAAAAATAAGAAATGTGTGAAAAAGTTGAGCTGGAGAGTACCCGCCGGTTGTCGTTGTAGATCGCCGGTGCCAGAGAAGGAGAAGAGAACTCGGGTGATGGGAGAAGAACGAAGGGTCCGGGGACCAGCTGCACAAACTCGAGAGGAAGTGGGAATAGAGTTTTGAGATTTCAAACAATATGTTTTGGGAGTTTTGGGGGACAAGCGAACAGCGTGTGAAGTAGACCTGTTCATGGGCCGGGTGGCCCGACGGGCCGGCCTGGCCCGGCCCCCAGACGGGCTTGAACAGGCTTTTTGGCCCGCGGGCTTAACCTCGGGCCAAAAAGCCCAACCCGCATAAAATTTGAGCCGGGCTTGGGCTTTGCCAAAATAGCCCGGCCCGAGCCCGACCCGGCCCGACCTATAGTTAAACCCAAGTAAAAACCCTATGTGATGTCCATTTGAATAAATTTTTTGATTTAAAAATGTTGTTGATTCACTTGTAGGCCCATTGTTCATTAAATAGGGGAAAAAACATCTGAATTAAAATAGATCATGTTCATTTGAATAGGGAAAAATTCGAATTTCTTTTATTAGGTCGGGCTTCGGGCTCGGGCTCGGGCTTTGGGCTTTTCATCAGGGCCGGGCTCGGGCCCAAGTTGTAGGCCCGTTGGTTGGGCCGGGCTCGGGCCCAAGTTGTAGGCCCATTGGTCGGGCTGGGCTCGGGCTCGGGCCTAACATTTTTCTGTTAATAAAGAGTAAAAGCCCGGCCCGACCCGGCCCATGAACAGGTCTAATGTGAAGGGACAGATGGCGCACTACAAGTGTGTGGGGCATTTGTGGGGCAAGAGCGGGTGGGGCGCAGATTTGAACTTGTGTTAGGCGACTCCGGATCTCCTATCCACGAGAATTCTGCCCATGCCTACCCACATAACATTGCAACCACACATGGAGAATATCTCATCCTCCTACATGGTATTATGCAAGGGAGATGTTCCTAATTGACGGGGGTAGTGTGTTGTGGGTAGAGTTCTCGTCCAAAATCATTAGGCGGCGGGAGACCCTAAAAAGTAAAAACGATTCTAGATCTCTGCCCACATCTACCCATAAGCCATAACACACTACCTCCATGAATTTAGAATGTACGTGCCCATGTCTACCCACAATACACTACCCCCCGTGAATTGGGAATATCTCCCCCCGCATAATATTATGTAAGAGGATGAGATGTTCTCCATATGTGGTTGCGATGATATGTAGGTAGACGTGGGCAGAGTTTGTGTGGGCAAGAGATCTGAACTCATTGGGAACATCTCCCATGCATAATATTATGTAAGAGGATGAGATGTTCTCCATGTGTGGTTGTAATGTTATACAATGTTTTAAAAAACAAATCGGAAACGGAACCGTTTTGATCACCGGTTTTTGGGTCAACGGTCTGACTGTCCAGTTCGAACAGATGGTTCGTTATGACAGAAAATTTTAAAAAATAATTAAAAAATAAAAAAAAATGGTAAAAAACCGTTGAACGAGTCGATGGTTCAACCGCCCGAGTCAATGTTTTGTTGACTTTTTTCAACGGTTTTTTACCAGATTTCGGGTTTATGCAAAAAAGAAACCGATTGCCTGGACAGTTCCCGGGCTGAACAGTCCGACCATCCGGGTCAATGACGATTTCGAAAACACTGATGTTATATGGGTAGATGTAAGCAGAGTTCTTGTGGGTAGGAGATCCAGACTCAAAACGGAAACATATTCCCATAAACTTTAAGGCTGCAATGTTGGGAAGTGAAAGTGTGACGAACGTCTCCCAAGGGAATTCGAAGGCACCCCACAAGCATTGAGAGATGTTCCCAATACACAGTTGGGATGTGTTGTGGGGTGCTCTGTGAAGCACCAATGTAAACTCACAACGGAATGCTTTGTGCGCAGAGTTTTGATTGTAAGTGCTAACATGAAGTTGAGCAGAAATGGCGACGGAATGAGCGCTCTTGCAACTTGCATTGCAAGTAAAACACAATGATGACTACAGGGGCGGGGTTTGAAAATCCCCACAATCCCTATTAAATTTATACTTTAACCCTTCACCCTTGTTTTATTAACTTTTGGCCCCCCTAATCTAGTATTTGACCCCCTA